ACAGGTGACGGCGCACGTGGCATCATACAGCAAGAATAAGCGTTCGGCCAATGCGGCCAGGGCTCCTTTTCCTCCTCCTGCTACTGCTGCTGCTGCTGCTGCTGCTGCTGCTGCTGCTGCTGCTGATGGTTATGGTTTATACAGAATACTCGCACTGCTGCCGCTGTTGCCGTCGCTGCTGCCAATGCTCTTGACTCTTGTTGTCGTCGACGGTATTCTTTCAAAATTAGCGTATAACTTGACATAGCAATCGATGTTGGGGGCGGTTTGCCTGTTTGCTCCGTGCCTGCTCTTCTTGTTGGTGGTGGTTTTGCTCATAGTCTTGCTGATAGTCGTTTCCTTGTCAACAGCAAATTATCCGGTGATTTTGGTGAACAGAGCAGCACGAACAAACTCGCGTCGCCAAGCGCAGGAGAAGCGCTTGGCCGGCCGACAACTTGTCCGCGATGTGGTGGCAAAGTCGGCTGATGTGACGGCGCTGGTAGCTGTCGCTGAGGCCGCAGATGAAGACACGACCCTCCACAAGACACTGAGGTTCAGACGTCAGACAATGCCAGTCTTTCTATGGCAAGTGGTCCGGGAGGGGTTACGCCAATCCTGTGAAATTTCCGGAACGGTAGGTTCGTGTTGCGCACTCGCTGGATACGCACTAACTATGCCGAGCAGCTTGAGCATGCAGTGCTCCATGTCCCTGCAGTCGTGGGCAGAGCTGGCGAAGAAAGCGGGAAAGATTGATGAGAAGCAGGCCAGGTTCAGTCCGAGTCACACACACACACACACACTCGGCGCGCACGCGCACTTGTCGGTGTGCGTACTGTGAGAAGCAGGCAACATTGCAAGCCTTGGCCGAGCTTCTTGCCTGCACAACCTGGGCGGAAGTCGTTGCTGGAAAAGTTGAGAAGATGGATGCAGTGACTCTGCAGTTGTCCTTGCTTGCAGCCTCCGGGGCTCGAGGGGACTACATTCGGACCTGCTAGGCCGCCCCTTGTAGGAGCCATGGATGAGAAGAAGCACGGCCCAAGCTTCAGCATGGACACATTGAAGGACCCAGAGAAGCTGAAGGCCTACATGATGAAGTATTCTCAAAGCGAGGCCTTCAAGATCTGGGCTGGCTTTGCCGTCATCGCCTTTATTGTTTTCATGTTGGTGTCCAGTGGTGATTTTTCATTCTTGTTGACCCTCTCCTCCCTACTCAGCACCTTCAGCTTTCTGATGGTGGCTTTGAAGATGGAGATTGGAAGATCGTGCAAGGGCGTCTCCCTGAAGATGATGGAATGCTACTTGGTCATCTTCTTCTTTCGACTCTGCGCAATCATCCCCTTCGAGGGCTACCTGCCGTTCGACAAGTCTGGCGACTGGTTCTACCAGACCTGTGAAGCTCTTGGCTTCTGCCTCGCCGGAACCATGGTGTACTTTTGCCGCGTGAAGTATGCGGCCAGCTACAACCCTGAGACGGACACCTTTCAGCACCTTTACCTCGGTGTTGGGGCCCTGGGCTTGTCCTTGATCTTCCATCCGAACTTGAACGGCTTCCTTCCCTCAGACATGGGCTGGGCCTTCGCGCTCTACCTGGAGTCGGTCGCCGTCTTGTGCCAGCTCTTCATGTTCATGAAGGAGGGCCGTGCGCAGGAGCACACTTCGCATTTCCTCGCGGCGCAGGCCTTGGCGAAGGTCATGTCCTTCATCTTTTGGGCCGCTTGCATGCTGATGGCTTTCCATGACCTACCCCGAAGTCGACAGTAGACAAGACAGTATTTCGAAACATCTTGCTAGAGTACTTGGTTGTAGTGCAGTGTCAACTTCGCTGCGAGCTTTGCGCTTGACCGAGGCATCCTCCTTCAGCGAGCCTCAGCTGACAACCATGGCCGTATTTGAAGCTCTAGGGTGCTTATAGAGTCTATAGAGTCTGATGCAGTCGAATGAATACCTTGGTGTCGGTGTGTTGAGAGTGATGGTGCCCCCTTTGGCGATGCCTCCCGTAGTATGTCGGGCTGGAGTGCGTGCTATATTTCCCATTGTGGCGAGGGCCTGCGGTAGCGTTCATGGCCGGGTCACCAGCAACGCCGCCATCCGGAAGCTGGTCAAGAAGACCAACCCAACAGACGCGAGAATACCTGCCATGTAGATCCTCGGGACTGCCATGCGCGAACCAAAAAATACGAAAAGGCAGAAACACTGAGGAGAAGCTGGCTTCCGTGTGAAGAGGCAAGCTTTCTCCGTGAAGTAGCCAGTGCGCGCACAAAACGTGAAAATTGCCTTCCAGGCTACAAGCTGATGCTGCTACAAGTAGCTGCAAATGTATAAACTACACCGTCTGGAAGCCGTGCCTGCCTTGAGCGAGTGCGAGTCCACATCAAACCGAGCCTGACACCGACTCGACACCCCGTACTACGCAGCTGAAACTAGAGCCCATCTTTTGCTTACATTCAGAGCTTGTCGGGGTGCCGACACAATTATAATCCTGCACGCTTGCACTGTGCCATGCTGTCGTGGCGGCGGGGTTGTTGTCGAGGCGCTGATGGGGTGATGGGACGGGGTGCGGCGGTAGACCGTGGGTCAAGCAGACCAAGGATGTCCCCGGAACACAAAGAGCACCGAGAGGATGAAAGAAACGGCCAGAGTTTAGAAGCCAAGGTGAGACGCACAGAATGACCAGCGCTGTTAGTATAAGGAAATCAGAGCCTCCGACAGCAGGCATGGAGCACTTCTATCAATGGTCAACGGAAGCAGTCAGGGCCACCGAAACATGAGGAGCCTGCTAGAAGCCACAAATCAAGCCGCCTGCAGTGAAGAGTTGTGCCTTCGCCGAGGAGCTGTCAGACCCAAACCATCACATCAAGGCCTTCGTTGGCAATTGGGTTGTTTGTGCACAGCTCGTCCAGTTGCTGATCATGGGTGACTTTATTTATCACTACATGCGGTGTATTCAGCAAGGAATTCCTGTCTCACAGCTCCTGTCCTCGGATGCCGTATGAGAGACGGATTGGAGGCGACATCTTAATTTTAGCTTTCTCAACCTTCTTTCCAAGCTTCTCCACTCGAAAGCGGAGCGCCGTGATTACCCTATGGGGACTTTGAAGGCAGTTGCTGTGCAGTCGACTGTCGAGCGCCGTCAGCCTTGTGCACGTTTGAGTCTGAACAAAAACCCACGGCGGCAGCGCTGAAAAAGAGGGGGTTTTGCTGACCAGTCTCTGAGCAGAGGGATGCTCCGCTTTTGCAGGGATGGCCTCGGCTGCCTCGCAATCACTAGCCCAAGCAGTCCACCCAGAATAGTCATGATTTCCCTGGGACTGAGGCTTGCAAGCAATTTGCCCAAGATGGAGGAAGCCACGACAGTCGCAAAACTCATCGAGCTCCGTCTGCATTGATGGAATGGTCTCAGGTAAGCCACCTGAGCTTCTACATAAGTCTACACCCATCTTCTACATAAGTCTATACGCATATTTCTACTGCTATTCGGGCATTTTCTCCGCCTGACACAGTGGCGGCAAGTCTTCAAAACGGGGATCGCCCGCCACGTTCCGTGTTTCAATCCATCAGCCACTGGCTAATGATGTAGCTTAGTGACTTACGCCTCCTGTTCAAGCTTCAATGCTTGTCATCCAAACAGGCGCTTGGAGGTAGCTCAAGCACATGCCAAGAAGCACTGCAGGTGTTAGGTGCAGGACTTGACCCCTACTCGTACTCCTGTTTGGCTGGCCCAGGCGCCTGCCTAGAATTAGAATGCCATGAGAAAATGCACCTGTGCTGGGGGAGACCACGAGGCATGCTGTGCACATTCCACTAGTGACGAGTGACGAAATAGTGACTCGGAGACGAACCTTTCCCCTATGTACCGTGGCCCCAGGACGCGAAGGGTCCTTTGATCAAGGTCGCGGCCGAGGATGCAAACGAAGAGACGCTTCGCGCATTCTTTCCCGAGCGGGTTGAAGGCCTCGGTTGCGGCTGGGTTCCTTCACAGTGGCTCCTCACGCGGAATGTTTGCACTGTTTACTTTGGCGTTTTTCGTAAGTCCACCAAGAACGCGATTCCTGGCCTACACAGCTTTGGGTGCACTGGCCGTGCTGCTGCCATCCTCGGCGCAAGACCAGGCAAAGCCGACATCTTGAAGACAGTGGTATCGAGTAGCAGCACTTAGTTACGGTCAGTTCATTGATTTCATTCGGTATAGCTCCGGGGCAGGTGCTGATCTGTGTTTACTATGTAAATGTCCGGAGTCGGGATTCGGGTAAAGCTGGGTTGCCTCGGGCATTTCGAGCCGGCAGCTTGTTCCAAACCTGGCCAGGTAGTGGCTGAGCTGTTGAAACCGCTGGCCGACAAGAAGGCACCGGAACGTGCGCGCCTGGCGGCGCTGACGGCCATGGCACAGGTGGCACAGCAAAGCGAAGGTGCCATGATCTTCGGAAACTGCATCAGCTACTCCAGACACCTAGCTCGCGCCTGACAGGAACTTCCAGAACCTGGGCCGGCAGCTTTGTGGACAAGGCAAGTTGGGTCGGGGAATCCCCATGTGAGCCGAGAGCCTTCGCCTTTCAGTTCTGAAAGGCTCTCCCTTTGCTGACTTTGGCCTCCACCAAGCCTGCTCAGCGGATGCAGAGCCTCTTGGCCTGGGCCACCGTTGGATCCTTGGCGAAGGCACAGCCTCAAGCAGCCCTTCAACCCTGCATCAACAAACTGCGCAGGCTGATCCCGAAGCCTTGAGTTCCAAGCTCAAGAAGGAGCAGTTGACTCTGCTCAAGGACCGCTTCACCCTGGCTGTGGCAGAGCGGACTTGCTTGTGCCACAGGAGAGTGTCTCTTTCCTCAATGCTCTGCCTATCATCCAGAAAGCCCCGCCCGCGGAGCTGTCCGCTCAGGCCGGATTAGGGAGGAGACCTCTGCAGATTTGTTGCTTCACACGACGCGCTGGCGCACTGGCTGGCCAAGGCTCAATTTTGGCGAGCGCTGCTCGCAGGCCTGATTCCTGGTAGCCCGTCTTTGGCGGATGCGGCGAAGGAGGTCTCCTGGTTGGCCCTGCCAAAAAAGCCGCCGGGGACTTGACTGTGCCACCTAGGGACCTAGGCAAGGTTTCTCCAGTCTCCAATCGAGAGACAGTGCACTGAAGGTTCGGGAAAACACTGCCCATTGTGCGCAGCACAATTGTACTTCTCGCAGGCAGACGGCATTAGCGCCCCTCCCATTCGCACCACGGAATTTGTGCCGTCGTTTATCGCTTTGCATCGCTTCTGCTTTTGAGCCTCCTTCGAAGGCCTGCACAGTTCCTCTCCCGAACGTGGCCTTCGGACTGAGTCGGAGGAGACCTGCCAAAATAGCCGAGTGCATGATATGATCAGCCTATGTGGGGTTCGCATGCCCCCAGCGAGTAATGCCGGATGCGCCCAGTTCTTGTTTGCTAAGGCAAACAGGCCGAGCCAAGTCATGAACCTGACGGCCATTATTCAGCAGCTGAAGGCTGGCATTGTGATTACGTCTGCATGCTTGTGCCGTGATGCTGGCTTCAGGACGAGGACGCCAACAACATCCTTCTGTTGTTGGCAGAGGCTAGATTCTCGTCCAGCATGTAGGGAGGCTGCGTTATGTTGCGGTGGAACGAAAACCCACGCCACCTGCGGAAGACTTGTGCAGATTTTCGCACCACTGTCTTTGTAGGCGTTCATCGCTTGGCTTGCTGAGATGGCTGCGCTTCCGAAACCACAACGACAGGTCTCTTGGCTTTCTGATCCGGCTTGGCTGGGACCATCCAGTGCTCCATCCCTGTCCACTGTTTAATTAAGGTAAACAGCAGTGCCCTGCGCGACATCTTGGTCGATCTTTGCCATGCCGCTGCGACAGCCTCTGGCCCGCTTCGCCCGGAAATCGTGTGCTTGCTCCGCGGCGGCGCATTGATCCATTCTTGGCAGCAATTGCATGTGCCAGTGAAGTCGCCCTTTTTTTGCAGCAGGCTTTCTCTTGCCGCTCATCACCCGCTGCTGGGTTCGCGGCACTGGCCGCAACTGAAACACTGGAGATGGCTGCGCTATAGGGGTCCATTGGCTGCGTGCTTCGAGAAGGTGCCCCAGTGCGCAGCATATCCGATGGGTACATAGCTTGAACATGTAATGTCTTGGCATCGACAACCCATTGATACGCAAAGTAATTTCAACTGCAGGGCCAGCACAGTGCAAAGCTGGTTTGACGGCTGCATTGGTTGGATGCGACAGGCTCTATTCACACTGTTCAATATTATTCAATGTCGTTATTGTCATGCATGTCCCCATGGTCCGCATGAATTCAGCCTTGTGCTTGTGACCATACGGCATGTTGTTGTGTGATGATCATCATTCGGCTAGTTTCTCTTCTGTTGTGCCTGCTTGACCATGCCATGTCAAGAGCGCTGTTTGACTATTATCCGTTCGTCGTCGTATGAACGCCTTACGGTTCGACTGATGCGACGACGTTTGGCTGTCTTCGTCTCCTTTCAGTTGGTAGTGGTGGTAGTCGGAGCAGTATTCGCAGTATAAGTAACAGTAGCACCAACATCGGCCAGCAGCAGCTGGAGTAGGGCTACTAGTCAGTAGTAGTTATCACTACCACTATCACAGCAACAGCAACAAGTACTTCTGCTGCTGCAGCTACTACTACTACTACTACTACTACTACTACTACCACTACTGCTCTTGCCACTACTGCTACGCCGCCTACTGCTACGGAACTGCTACTGCTACTACCCTGCTACTGCTCCTGCTGCTGCTGCTGCTGCTACTGCTGCTGCTACTGCTACGATCGTCGTACCAGTGCTTTCACTACTTCTACTGCTGCTGCGACTGCGGCCTACCTCTCTTTCTCTATCTCTCTCTGGACGTAAGAAGGTCGACCATGTGTAAGGACAGCTGAAACCGAGGCAAACGAGCAATCCGGGCCGATAGTCTCCATGAAGCGGTGTCCCTCATGCGGTGATACGATACGAAGTTGTTTTCCCGGACGATAGGCACTTCTGCAGCAAAGAAGCAATCTCTCACCCACTTTCCTCTGAGTTTCAGCAGGCCTGCTGTTGTCAGTTGTTCGTACCTCAGGTCAATGTCTTTCCGTAGCTGTTATTGCTTGCACTTGTATCCAGCTCGCCGCTCTTGTCAGTGTCAGCCGTGCAGCACTGCACGTCGTAGCCTGGAGTTGAATCTGGTGCACGCCCTTTGAATGTTCTTGATGACTCCTGTCAGGCCTCGCGGCTCTAAACGGAAAACCTCCTGGTCATCAGCACAGCACTCCCCCCCCCCTGCCGTCGATACTGCTACTGCAACTGCTGCTGCTGTTACTGCTACTGGCTGATGATGCTTGTGCTGGTGGTGGTGATGACAAAGGTCCTGCTTCCGCTGCTTTGCATGACACCTCTAATCGTGAAGGGGCGCTCCGATGTCTGGGCAACTCTTCGCGAGCTGATCTTGGCCGGCCGAGCCTTGGTGGCTTTTCACTGCCTTAGCTTTCCTGACCTCCAAGTCTGCAGTCTGCAGCACCTGTCAATAATCCTGGAGGAGGCAGTTGTTGAAACCCTGCTTCAAGGAGCTATTCCTGGCACGGATGCCAGTGGCTGCCGCCGTGCCGCGATCTCTTTGGCTTCTGCTTTTGAAGGCGACGAGCCTGCTCTGCACGAGGAAGCCGCTGCGCTTGTTCGCGCCACTTGCCTGACAAACAGTTTTGGTTTTTCATGGCCGAAGGGAGGCGCACTCGTGTATGGTCTTGCAATGCCTTGCTTTTGTCTTCGGAGTTTGCAGCTTACTGCATTGAGGAGTGTGTGGCGGCCTTGCCCACGGAGCAGGTTGCTTGGGCAGAGAAGGCCTTTCTCTTCATCTAGAGTGAGCCACCCTTCACAGTGCATAGGCCACTTAGGGAGTGGAAAACAGGGTAGAAGCATCTGAGTCATGCCTTGTTCGCTTGAGTCTTTTTCCGGCAGAATTTCCTGTTACGTATGTCGTTCGCTTAAGCTCGTTTCTGTTGGCGGTCCACCAGAGCAAAACATGTCTAGGTGTTGACCTTGAGCCGAAATTTGTTTTTGATTTCTTCTGATGTGTTTTGACTTGTTTCAGGCTTTTCGTATCAAAAGTTAAACTCTTTGAACATCAGCCCCCCGCCCGCCCTCGCCACCACACCTGATCAGTCGAAAACCACGTTCAACAAAATCAACAACAGACCCCCCCGCCCCCCACATCCTGCCCTCCCCGCCCGCCCCCCGCTCTTCCCCCCAAGCTATCTCTCCCCCCCTGTATTCAAGGTCATAACGTTAAGAAGGCACTTGCTTTCTGATTGCACGGGCCTGGGGTCGGGAGACCCTCTGAGCATAGATTCTAGACTGTTCCTGAACGTTCCTGATTGGGCTCATTTTACGCTTCCCAGGGAAAGACTTGTTGTTGACTTTTTCTGTGACTTGAGTTGTGACTTGTTTCTGAGCTCTCGGGCCAATTGCATCCTGGGTTTTCGAGTTCCAAGTCATTTATTTCTGACTTCATTTGTTGATTTACAGAACAAGCTAGGAAGCTACCGGCATACATTTAATCTTCCCCATGCAAGCCAAGGTCAGCGCTGAAGCGCTGGAGGACGAGTGCATACTGACGAAGAGCAGCCAGTCCTGGCAATTTGCAAACAGGCAATGAAGCCTTAGACTGCGCTCGAGGATGTGAAGATCTTCTTTGCTCCAGAGGGCGTCTTGTGGATTGAGGACCCGACTTTGCGATGGTCGTGGTCAGCTTCACACGCCCGATGAGTTCGACATGTCCTTTTGCATCCACACCAGGAGGGCGTTTACGTGGCTGAAGAGCGGGAGAACAAGAACCTCACAAAAAACAAGTACCTTCAGGCGGAGTCCGCTGCGGGGCACGTCCACTCGCCAGCTCTGCATTCCCTCCCAGTGCAGTGCAAGCGAGTGCTGCGCAGGGCTTTGAGGAAGAGGAGACGAAGCAAGGGCCTTCTGCATCACGCCTCAAGTTTGCACCGAAGGAGACGCAAGAAGACTTGCACAGTCCGTTGTTCGAAGCCTCCCATCGTGGCCCAGCAGGGCATGTCACAGGCTCAGGCTTTCAGTGCCGACCCTCGCAGGACAGGGACAAGCCAAAAGAAAGCAAAGCAAAGGACCAAAGGGCTGAGATGGCAGCGTCCGGGGTATCTCTTGCGTGGTCATACATGTGGCTCCTTTCAGGATGCAAAAGATGCAAAGCCCGGGAAGGGAAAGAGCAAGGGCGCCGCCGCATCAGAGAAGGGAGCAGCTGGGATGGTCAACGGTATAACATCACTGGTTCGTTGCAACGCAGTGCTTCGTGAACCACCGACTCTGACCGAGGCCATGACGCAGGGTCAGATAGAGGAGGCAAGGATCCAGGAGCAGTCCGAAACGAGAGCGCGCATCCGACGTGGCTTGCTTTCATGGAAGCCGGTGGCTTGCGAGTAATGTGCATGCCATCGCAAGATCTTAGGCTATGTGGACGAGGCATGCTTCGGAATGGATGTGTCACCTGGCTGAGCCAAGTTTTCTCAAGACTCCCAGACATGAGTCGGTCCCGCAACAGTTCTGCTGCCCATGAGCCCAGGATGGTTTCACTCGCCAGGAACGAGAGCAGCAAACAGGCGCAGTTTTTCAGTGACGAGCATGATTTCACAAAGGCAGGCCGTTTTTCGCCTGAGCTCAAGGCCTGGGAACATGTTCTCCAGACCAATTGACATGAATGGACGATTGAAGCATTTCAGAACCGCATCTAGCACAAGAGAGGCCACACGGAAATGCTTCTGGTCAACAACTTACAGCATGTTGATTCTACAACTAAGCATCATAGCCATGTCCTTTGCTTCCATGAAGCTTTCCAAGATGCTTCGAGAATCGACACTGATTTTACTTCTCCCAAGCGCAGGTAAACCAACTTGCCTTGTCGCACAAGCCCACCTGGTTCGCAAGGCCTTCGAAGAGCTGCTTCCAGAACTTGTGCCCAACTTCCTGAAGTTGCTGCAGTCGCCCCTGACCGTCCTGAGACCCGCTTGAGCTATATCAGGGCAAGGGTGCTTGTGGGGCTTGTGTTCGGAGCCTCGAAAGCCGAGCTTCGACACATCAGCCGAGGCAAACGAGGAGGTGTCTTCGCAGTCTGGTCAGCTTGGTGGTCCCGAGGCAAAGCATCGCTAGGCTTGGCTTGGCCTTGCATGATCTTGTATCGGTCCAAGCACAACCTGGCCTTCTGGAAGTTCCAGGCGCGATTTGCTTCCGGATGCGCTCATGGTTGTGGGCAAGCGCTGGCTGGCTCGCAGCCCGGCCAGCGCTGGCACTCCTGGAAAGGAACGCGTTTGTGAGGCTCCCTGCGGTCTCCTGCCGTGTGACAGACTTATCCACTTTATCTTGCAAATCGCATGCAGGTCGTGCTGGATGGTGTGGACTCTGTCAGAAAGTTGGACGGCTGTTCCATGGCGCTCGTGGCGTTGATGCAAGAATGTCCGTCATGGCATGCCGCAGACAATGCTACTGGTAGAATGGAGAAGGGGAACAACATTGCATCGAGATGTAGCGACTTGCGAAAGCCACGAAACGTCCACCTGCCGACTGAGATCTTCCCAATCATCATCCGTGCGCTGTATGATGGCGGGTCTCTGTTGCAGGTGCAGTTTGCAGAACAGGGGAGAAGCATGCTGGTGCTTGCGATGGCTGTGCCGGAATACAAAAGCATAGTACTGTTAAGTGACATGACATCATGGCATCATGCGAAGGCAGTGCATGTAATCTTGTCGATCAGTTCCAGCTGCTGCACTTCTGCACAATACCACCGGTTACACGCTTCTGCATCTCTAGGGTTGTCCGGCCTGCCCTGCACCTTGCACAGCATGCACTGCTGCATTCGTCGTGCACCGAGTCGTGCACCGATGCGTCGTATGCCGTCCGGTTGTTGGCTGGAGGTCCTGTGCACTCGCGCCTTGCACCTTCTCGAGCATCAACTGGCGCTTGGATTGGAGGCGACTTGCCTTAGCCGCCGCCTCCAAGCAGTGAAGCCGCCTGAACACTCCTGGAAGGTGTCCGACGAGACAGCCAACGAAGTGTTCGACTCTTTGAGCGTGGTGCTTCTCGCATTGCCAGGCATGGCGCATAGCACGCAGGCCCGAGCTTTGCTTTTTCTCTAATAGGCGTGCTCCAGGCGAGTGCATGGGGAGGGAGGCACAGATCTGTCGGAGCCAACCTCAGGCCGCTATGGCCGCAGCCTGCAAGCACATGGTTTCATCAACAGAGACTTTGGGCAAATTGGCGCAAATGCATCTCGACTCAGCTGAGAGAAACGCCCCGATGGGATGCCGTCACATTCGAGACTTAGGAGTTTGATTCAGTCTGACCGATGACGGAAACGGGTTTGCTTGAATAGATGTGTAAAGGCAAGTTAAAACTTGGGAGCTTTTAAGCTGCCCCGCCGACACCGTTGGTTTCGCCCGTGTCTCAGGTTCTTCTCCGACGAAGAGTTAATGCGGGAGTCCGTGATCACTGCCTTGGGAGTCTTGCCGGAGAATTTGCATGTTCAGGACACTTGCCGACATGTAGTCGGCGCAAGGATGAGGAGCGGAGTCCGTAGGAGTCGGAAGCATGCGACATATTAGCATGATTGGATGCGCTTCTTGCGTCTTGCTGCCATTCTCTGCTGCACATGCAGCTGTCAAAAGGCTGTCTAAAGCGGGAATCAGCACAGTCGACAGGACCGCTTCGTATTTTGACCTGAAATAGGCTCACTGCTGAGTAGCATCCTCGTGTCACGAGCTAGCAGCTCGAACAAGTAATGAGTAAACCATGAAGAAACAGATTGAACCCCGCTGTGTCAACCACGGGATCTAACCCAGAATCGTGTTTTCAAGCATGCTTTTAGGGCACGCTCGCTGCCATGTCGCCCGCGCAGCCTTGCACGGCCCGGTGCACTCGGCATGCGGACCTGCGTGGGCAGTACCGAGGCGCACGGGCTTCGTGCGCCTCAGCCTCGTCAGCCATATCAGCCGTTGTTTCGGATTTTTAGTCGCACTGTAGGGCTCAGGATCTACAGTTGTTAGAGTACCGATGCTGACAGAGAATCGCGAGAAGAGTCACTCAGAAAGCTTCCCGCCAAGGGCGGCAGCGTTGCGGATGTCCACTTTCGCACCGCAGGTTCGCCTCATGGTAAGTTTTGGCATTTGGTCGGCCAATGCAGTGAAGGGTAGTTAAGACGGCGTGGTGGGCTTGGATGATAGGAGCATGCCATATAGCTTTCTCTTGACTGGAGCAGGTTACCCCACAAGCAGAAGTGGCTCCAGGGCAGTCACTGACTGCTCTATCAGAACGCCCTTCGATCGAACTGGATCTGAGCATTTGTGGTCGCAGATGGTTGAACTTTTGATCCATTTCATGCTTGCTAGGTGCCGGGTTTGTTCCACGGCCACCAATGCCAGAGGAGGATCCCAAGCCAGGATTTCGAGGCTGTGAAATGCACTGAAGCCGCCGCAACTTGAACAGATCAGGGACTCAGCAAGCTCATCCGCGAGGTGGGAAGGCGCTCTTCATCTTCTTCCTCTGTAATGCCGTCCCCTTCGCTGCCTTAATGCATTATTTAAGGCAGGGGCAGCAATGTTGGGAGCGTCTCTGGAGGATGCCGTCAGCTTTAGTGAGCCCGCAATGTGCAGGGAGCAGCGCACGGAGCGAACGCAGTTGGCCTTGCTGTCCCTGCCGTCCCTCCCAGAAGATGTTGCGGCAGAAGTCCTTCGAGTGCCTCGACCAGAATCTCACAAATTCTGTGTGACATCATGACATCCAAAGGGAGCGCCAGACAGTGGCAGCATCCAGAAGCTGCACGGGGACAGCTTCGATGGCTGAGGCAATTCGGACTTCGTCCATCTGCTTTCTGATACAAGACGCAGAGGCAGGAAGTGCCAGACATTGTCATGATCGTGCGTGCTGTTGTGTTGCTCCTTATACTCCTGGGTCCTCGCTCATGTTGGGGTGGGTCCAAGCTTAAAGCGGCACACGATTTCACAGGCGAGTCATAATTTCGCAAGTCAAGTATGTCCTGCGAGGCTCCAAGCCCGATCGCCGGAACCCTGCGTGTGGATCCACATCCCCCAGAAGCTTCGGCATATATTCCGCCAACAGCACCTTGCCGGCAACAGAACATGTAGCATTTCACTGAGGTTAGGCGATGAACTTGCATAGCATCTTACAATGTCTATTGTTCCGGCCGAGGAGCCCTTGCCACTGATTCCCCAGATGGAGCGAAATTTCCTGACCGTCACGTGGCCGTGAATGCGTTGAGCAAGCCAGGCCGGCATTTTAGTGATCCCAAGCGCGTGGAACTCACAGTATTCCCTACTGTAAAGCCTAGCCTTACTGAGAGCTCAGACTCACTGCTGCTACACCCTTAGATTCGCTTGGCACGTCCGAGAGTGAGGGCCGAAACCCGAAACTTAGGACTTGGTAGAATCTCCGGCCGTCAGTGGCTTGGGCTTTGTGCACTTCGCCGTCGCCAAAGCCTCCCCGGAAGGTCGCGCGGTGATTGCCGGACGGAGGCCTCGGCTGTCCCGGCTTCGATTTTGCAGTCCGTATAAAGTTGCTACTGCTGCCGTATTCCCGCTATACTCGTATCCTCACTACGGCCATGTTATTGTTCTATGTTCTGTTCTACTATACAGTAGTAAATCATCTGCTCATCTCGTGTTCGGAGCCTTTGACTTCCCTGAGGCAGGGAGGCTTGCTCTACGTTTCGCACACACGCGCCGCTTATTGCACCGTGAGTGGCCAGTGCAGCCCTCAGACCTTAAACTGTCTGGCAGAAACTGGAGAGGACAGGCAGGCGCAGGAATCGACATCACATGCGCAAAGGCTGAGCGTGCTTTCCGATCCTGAATCTAGACGACGAGTCTATGCTGCAACTCCACATGGTAGCACAAATGCTTCATGCAGCGCTGCTGCTGTTCATATTATATTATGGTCGCTACGTGAACCGTGTCAGGATACTGGAAGTCATCCTGGTCTTTCTGCTTTCCAAGCCCGGCGCCCCCGTCGGTCGTGCCGTCAGCAGCTCCGACACAGCCCGAGGACATGCACCCCATGTTTGCCCAGTGCTAAAACTTATAATGTGCTGGTGTGGGTGGCGGAGGAGGCACCGCCCGCATGGCAAAGCGAGGAATACTTGCTTCTGCGCCTGGCCATTGACCAGGCGAGTAGCCAGAGCACGAGACTTTGTGACAACATTGTTGCATCCACTTGTAGTTTGTCTTGTGCTGAAACCCAGCGGTTTGCAAGGCCTCGCTGCAGTCAATTGTCGATGGTCCACAGCGCTGGCAGTCCCGACATGTACGGCGTGATGGCCAAAAAAATCGTTGGGAGGTGCCCTGGTGCTGCAATTGCGGAAGCTTCTTCCATGCCAGTTGGTGGTTTACAGCTTTGGAGATCTACAGCAACTGAGGCTGTGCCATAGCGATGGCTTTCCGCCTGCTCAACTCAGTGCCAAAAAGTACTTGTCACGCGAGCAGTTGAACATGTCACATGGTTGCAAGGGTAAGCTTGCTTGCTCCCTACACTGCCTGTAGCGCGAAGTGCAGGAGGGAGATGTTGATCCTGATGCCGCACGAGCAGTGTTGAGGTTAGGAGCTTTAGACAAGGACTGTGCCGAGCCTTAGATGCAACGGCCTGAACAAATTCGGCCGCCGCATGCCGCCGAGAAACACGACGAGAGCCGAGGAGACTGCCAAGAAGACCTTGGACGAGCTCCAACTGGAAGCTGATGAGGTCACGCGGTCGGCTACAGGAACCAGACGTGCTTGGACGAACGTCGAAACTCCCTGCGTGAAGCTGACAGTTACTAGATGCTACTGTCGTATTAGCAGTGCGGAGCCTCAGGTTCTGATGATGGAGCTCATTGATTTTGCCAGGGAACAAGGAAGCGTTGGCAGGGACATCCAGGAACTGATTGCCAAAGCGCTGGCAGAGGCCCGGATTTCCGGCATGCGATGATATGCAAGGTGGGCTAGGGTGCACATAACCCCGCAACATAGCTCGACATGATCTTTGACGGTGAAGGTTCTGCAGGAACTGGATGACCCCAAGTTCACAGACACCGCGCTGGATTTACTGATGCAGCTATTCCGCGAACAGGCAGCACCCAGGAGAGGGACTCAGAATGGTTCTTGTTTGTTGTCCAGCCTGGGCGAGTCCTTGCAGGATCACCATTGCACGGTGTTTGGAGCGTATGTATGCCACCAATCTCCAAGGCGGAGACCAGGCATTATGAAGTGGGAAGCCCTTTCATGTTATTTGTCTTGCTGCTTGATCATGTTGTGGCCGTGTAGCTGCAGCTGTCAAGCAAAGCAAAGCGAACAGGTGAACCTTGCTTTCGAATTCATTCTGCGGCAAGGGCTGGGCCTGACGAATGGCTCGACCACAGAGGCGTGAACTCGTGGTGTGCACCTTGTGAAGTCATCCTGAAGCGGAACCCAAGTTCATGTCAACTAACCTTCACATCAACGCGGTGAACGTCGGATCGACGTCGTCATAGCTGGATTTCTTCCACTAGGGCAGCGGTCATTGTCGGATCTGACTGCTGTGAGAAGCATAGAACAACAGCACTCTTGAAGGCTAGCGAATTGCGGGATGTGCTGCTCGCGGCAGGAACCGCGGGCTCAATGCATAGGATTGATTTTGTTGGTAGGAGAGCTCCACATACTCAGTTACGACCTCGACGATGTTTGCAGGCATTACTCTCATCGAGCAGCATGGGGAGGAATGCGCCGAAGATTTGTACAAGACTGTGGAAAGCTTTGAGGATAGTGCAGGCGCAAAAGCTGCAGGCTGGACGCGGCAAAGCATATCAATGTTGACTGCCACGTTTACAGCAGTGATCTCTGACGTAGTCGTAGGATGTTGTCGTGGTGCACTCCCTTTGCTGATCCGGGTATTGTAGAGGCGAGTCCGCCTCTTTGGGGATCGCCGTGTTCTTGGGCGCCCTCTCCAAGCATTTGGGCAAGGACAATCCCAAGGTCACTTGCTTCGTCCTGGAAAGGGGTTTGAATGCCTTCTCCATTGCATCAGACCGACAGAAGGTAGAGACGTAGACATCAGCCTAGCATAGCATGGCCAGGTGGAGGAGACGATCCCAAGGCTGCTTGCAAGGCCTATCGACCTCACGGGTCTCAGGAAGCACATCAGCTGTGGACTGCAATCTTCAGGCTATTGGACAAGTCATCGACTCCTTCCGTTCAGGACGCCATTGTGAAGGCAAAGCTGGCCATCCAACCTTAAAAGTAAACGCCATGCAACTAAGCAGAGCTTGCGAGTGTTATGCACGGTACAGAAGGTGATGCCGCCGCTGATGAAGGCCAACAAGGCGCAGAGCAAAGTTGCTGTTGCACGGTGGGGCGGGCTCTTGCACCGACGCCGAGCGAGGAGCAGGCAGCGGAAGCCCTGGAACAGCTCCTGGAGACAGCCCTGGCACCCAAAACGGATCCGGCGATCTGACAGGATCTGAAGTGTCGGATATGAGTTTAAGGGAAAGGGACGGGAAATGACGGGCATGCACTGTTGCACGTTGCAAGGGTCCATACAGCTAAAATCGATTGCAGGTGGATGCATGGAACTGAGTTACTCAGTCTGAGTAGGGTTCACGCAGCTAAGGTAACCCGTCGTGGAGCAGCCATGGGTCTTGGAGCTACTGTGAAAGGCCCACGCAATCAGCTGGTCTTGTAGTGAGCAAGAGCGGAAGTCGAAGTCTTGTGCCTGCCAGGTTTGAGTATCCAGGCTGTGTCGCAGTACCAGGTCTTGAAGCGGATCGAGGATGTTGCAGAGGAGTTGTTTGATGCAAACATGTGCTTCAGCATCAGCTTTGGAAGACATCGAAGATAGCACGGGCCTAGCAAAATTCTTGGCAGGACAAGAAGAGTGCAGCTGTGCGCGAGGGGGCTGTCCTTTGTTTGGAGGGTTTGGCCGTGAATCTAGGTGCGGGACTCAGATGGTCTGCAAACATGGACGGTGCATGATCCGTGTCTCCGGCCAGGCCGCCTCTTTGACCCCTACACTGTGATGTCACTGCCCATGCTGCAGAGGGTGGGGTCCTCTGCACGAGAGGCCTGCTCTGGTGAGCACTGCGAGCCTGTCAGGCTTTCTCGGACTCACAGCAGACCGTGCGCAAAGCATCACAAGTCCGAAGCTTGGCGGTGTGCCCATGATTGTGCCTTAGTGATGTTAGGAATGTGCCAGGTGGCTGCGAATGCTATGATGTCACAAATCAGTGGGCCAGGCGTGAAGCAGGCCCCGGGAGATTGCTTCCCGAAAGAGTGGCAGTTTGATTTGACCAGACTTTGCATGAAGAGCGCAAGGTGCTGAAACCACTACTGGCTCCGATCGAGGACCGCAACTCGCCGTAGCTGGGCAGCACGGGGTAAGACCGAAAGGCCCTCGTATGTCGGAATGGATTGAGATATAGGGTATCGGGTATCGGTTTAGGGTAGCCTGGTGCGCCACCTGTGCACATGAGGTGGCGCACAAAGCTGGGCAGCATCGAACTACTGGCATCAATGACAAGCTGTGCCAGAGAGCGGTTGGGAGCCTGTCTGCCACAGGCACCTGCCGACCCCGTCATAAATCATGCATCACGTCATTGTTGACATGGCCAGCAATGCGCGCATGTACGGGCTCGGCTTCTGTTCTTTGACCGTGCCCTACTCCGGGAGGTGGTGCCTGCATTGTGCAACGTCATCAACGACGAGCACGCGAAGGCCAGCAAGAGCCTGGCTTCAGGTAGCATCGCATTGGCGTGAGTAGCATTCAGAGAAGCAGCAGGTGAAAGAAGCTGCCCGTGAAGCTTTTAACAAGATCGCCAACATCATCAAGAGCCGGCTGCCTAGAGCCGTTTGGTTTTGCACTGTCGCCTGGTGTTGTGCAGTTTGACATGGCTCCAGAGCTTGAGTGATTGTGACTGATATGTTCGCCAGTTCTCTCGAGCCAACCGCGTCGAATGACCCTACAAACCCCCGCCGCCAACGAACTTCATTTTGGCTGTCGATGACAGCAGCTGACCTGCTTTAAGATCGACGCGAAATTCAGTCAGTGGAAGCAGGTTGGAAGTATTGGAAGCAACACAAACCAATGCTCCAACCCTTGACCCTGCAAGGACCCGCGGCCAATGTATGTTGCAACATCTTGGGCGGATGCTGCTAAGAAGGGGGGAAGCAGGCCTCCTTAAAAGCCTAAAGAGTGATATCCGGGCCTCCGAGTCCCAGCTATGCATGGACTTCGACCGTCACCTTCAATTCATTCAGGAAGCCCGAAAAGGCGACGCCAAAAAAAAAAAAGATGAAGCGAAGCGAACACGAAAGAATGTGGATGTAGGAGTAGAGCTGGGAGCAGAGCAGCAGCTGCGGTAGTCGCAACAAAAGGTGGGTTGTGTCTTGAGAAATGACCTTCAAGCACAGTGAGTTCTGCGTGTCGCGGAAGAGACATTCGAAAACCAGGCCCGGAGCTGCGAGCCATTGCGCCGGAGCTGATCTCGGCGCTGACAGATGGAGCACAGCATCACAGCTCGAGAAAGGATAGTCAAATACGAGAGGCATGGGGCATAGGTGCCTGCTAAACTCAATGCTCCTCACACCATGCAGACAAGGTATGAGCACATCACCCGCGATGTGCTGGACAAGCTTCTGGGTACTTCCTTCGCAACGCATGTCGATGCCCCGTCTCTTTCTCTTGCATCACGGCTTCAGGTTAAATACTTTCGGCCTTGGCCATGCCGTGCTTGTCCCCGACTTGTAGCAGCCTGCTGGCGAGGTATGCCCTGTCATTCAGCGAGCCCTCAAAGAGCGCTCTGCGGAGATGAAGCGGAAAGGGGCGCAGATTGTGGGCTCCATGGTAATGCTGATCAAGGACGACTATATCGCCATATATCCCTTGTTTGTTGACGTTGCTACGTGCAAAGCAAAATGCAGTGAGCATGCATTAAAGTCGGCCGAAAGTTTACAAATATTCGCACAACGACCGCCGGGTGAATCGACCCCAAACGGTGTCTTGGCGATCCCCGATTGTTTAGATGCACAGTCAAAATCGCAGTTTATCATGGGTAGTATAAGGCTATTTCAAGGTGCCCAAAGTCGCCGCGAGGAAGCTAGCTTGGCATCACCACCGAGACAATTTCAGTTTTTGCTGGTGGGTTGCCCACCCAACCCTAACCCGGTCTGCGCCTCTCATGGAAGCCACTGTCCGCGCGTGGATTCTTAGTCTTTCACGAAGTTCTCGGGTTTCGAAATCAACGCGCTTCACTGCTAGCGGGATCCATGCTCTTCTTCGAGCCCCTGTCAGGATCCGAAGGACATACAGCCTTACCTTCCGCTTCTTCTGCCTCAGCTGAAGCTCACCCTAGTTGATCCCATTCCCGATGTGCTCCTTGGACTTGGCATTCTGACAGCCCTGAAAGCTTGGATGTGCGTGCCCGACGCCTGGTGCAATAAGGCGGGCGACCTCTGCGAAAGCTTTCGGCATTCTGGCCCAGGTCTTGCCAGAGGACATGCTTGGCTTTTTTGCTGCAGAAATCTAAACCCTAAACCCTAAACCCCTAAACCTACTTAGCACCTGTTTACTGTAATTAGGTGCTTAGTTGCTGTCCTTTGAAACCTCGCCTGTGAGCATCGTTCTCTGCCATGCGAGAGGGAAAAAAACTTAGCACAAAAAAACCCTAAACCCATGTCCGAGTGTGAGTGTCAAAAACCCATGCCCTTTAGGGTAGCCTCAATTTTTAGGGTTTTGTACACAGTCCTCTAGATGACGACGAGGCCATGCCCCCAGACTATTAGCTGCGTAGAATTGTTACTGTACTTTTGTTGGAGAGTGTTGTTATACCTTTTTAGTTATCTTTGCTTTCGGATGCTAGGTCGGGGCGCAAGGGCTTATGTACAAAATTGAGCTTGAACTCGCCTAATCAGTAGGTTTCGTTGGGGATTGTCCTCGGTGCTTGGGTGAGGTCTCGCTAGGAACCGGGCTACCGACGAGGGTGTAGTCTTCACATTTCTACTGGTTGTTCATTTGGTTTTGGAGTGGATCTTGTCTTCGAAGACTGCATGCCTTCTTGGGGGGCCCTCGAAGACCTTCTTTTCCGACTAAAACTCCCTGCGGTGCGACTTGTCAGGTGGGCGGGTGGGAAAAAAAACCCTAAACCCTAAACCCTAAAACAGCTGTGAGGGTTTGTCCATGTGGCAAAACGAGGCGATGTCATGCCGTGGCTCTTTGAGATGCTGAAGTCGCCAGAGTCCAATGTCGAGCGCACTGGAGCTGCACATGGACTCTCCGAGGCCCGCTAGATCTTGGATCGGCATGCCTTCACCATGAAAGTTACATTGTGGCCATACAGGTTCTGATGGCGAAAGGTCCGGAGCGGGTTCAGGAGTCTCTCAGCTGTGCAGGGGCCAGCTGATTAGCTGTCCGGCAATGTGCTGTACGGTGATGTTGCCGCAAGAATTGCAAGCATATCGAAGTCAACCCAGGCTTTTGCCGGACATCCTCTTGAATGCGAGCGACAAGGACCGTGTCGGCATCCCTCACTGTCACTGAGTAGAGTTCTCCGTAGTGCCTCTGCAACGCCCGACAAGCCGCAGAGGCATTGCAAAGAAGAGGTTACTTGCATTGTCGAAGGATGCAGAGCCACTGGCGCGAGAGGGTGTTCAGGATGCAAGCAGTCGATGTCTGTCGACGTACCTGGCTGACTCATGCCTACATGATACCAAAAGCTAGTGCGCATGATGACAATGCTTGTCGTCGGATCGCCTGTTGTGAGGCTACTTGGGATTGTTCGAGTACCTTCCGCCCGCCATGGGAAGCAGTTTCGAGCGGCCTGTATGCAGGGAGAAACAGGCTTCACACCACTGGCTCATCGTCGGCATGCAGGCCATACCTGGAAGAGGTCCTCACAACGCTTCTGGATGGCATGTCTGACGACACTGCATCTGTGCGAGATACTGCTTTAAAGGCAGGCCGTGCTCGTACATGCTCAGCTGCTGATGCCCAAACTCTCGACCTCAGCTGCCTGACAAGCCCCTAGAGTGCACGATGTAAACAGGTTTTGGCGTGTACATGCCACTGACATTGCACCGGCAGGCAGCGCAGGTAATCATCAGACACTTCGGCTCCTCCCATACTGCACTTCTGCTGCCGCCACTGGAGGAGGTGGCCGAACAGAAATACCAGATAGCAAAACGTCAAACGTCCCCTCAGACTGCGCAAAGCGTGATGCACTTGCAGGGTGTCTTTGTCGTAGACTGGCGTGTGCGACATGGAGCCATTCAATTGATGGGACAGTTGCTGCTGGTCTGGAACAGTTCTGCTTGGACGACCTGTCATGAAGTCGCCTAGCAGCCTAGCAGCCACCGCCATGAGAAGTAAGGATTCAGCAGATCCTGCGAGCGCACCGCATTCCGACCAACAGCGCCGAGCTGATGCAGGCACGTAGGCATGCTGACTTTAGTGTGATTTGTTGAACACCGCATCTGCTGAGCGGCTGTGCGTGTTTCGCAGATGATGATGAAAAAAAAATTAGATGGGGTCTCACGTCTCACATTGCCACTAAAATCAACCGCTGCCGCTCTGCCTCTCGGATCCTCTCGGTACATTATTTCGCCCACAGTGAGGTCGAGGCGCTGCCCAAAGAATGGCGATGTCACATGCTGGCTTCTTTGTACATCGTGCGGAGCGATGAGCACCCTGGAATCAATTCTTGCATGATGTTGCGTGCCTGTGAGTCTCACCGGTTTCTGCGGAACCAAACTTCAAATGTCATGAGTCTATTGCCGTCAACTTGAGCGTGCTGCTCCTCAGGAATGTCATGGTCAAGCAGGCATGCCAGCAGGTGTGGAAGGCCGTTGTGCAGAATCCACCAAGAACTCTGAAAGAGTTGCTGCCGACGTTGATGACACGCTTGATCGCGGCTCGGCTCATTTAAGAAATGTAGGGTTTTAAGGTGTGCTGGCTAGAGAGAAAAAAGACGCAGCTGGTCTTGTGTTCTGTACTTTTCCGACAGAGATCTGTGAGACTGCCCTTCAGGCCAACCTTGCCTCTACAAATCGTGAACGGCAGCGAGTCGCAGCTCGCTGCGTTGGTGACCTGGTTGGCAAACTCGGATCCTCGGCCATGTGCTCATTACAAGTACTTTAGCTTCGCTGTAGTATGTGCAGCTCGAGCGAACGTTGGCCCCAACTAGGAGAGCGTGTTATGCCGGAGCTGATGCCAATTTTCATGGAGACGCTTTCGGAAGGCTACAAGCGTTGGCAAAATGTGGTTTCACAAGACAGGTCCTGCATTTGCATGGACAGGACGGTTGTCTGGCAAGTCGTGTGGCTCCCTCTCTGTCGCCGTCCATCTGTTCCTCTGCCTCGCTCTCTCTGACACTGTCTCCGTCCACGTCTCTTTGACTGTCTACCTCTGTCTAGTGGTGCATTCCTTGCAGGTGACACGCATGTGCGGGAGGGTGTGTGTCTGGGGCTGGCCGAGCTCATCAATGCCACCACGAAGGATTGTTGAATGCTCCTGTTGTGGCTTCGCGGGGTTTGTTAGGGACGAATGCGAAGGGAAGCCGAGCCATAAGGGAAGCCGAGCTATATGCAGGAGTTGCTCACGACGTATTTGGAGCAGCTTATTCCCGCGATTCAGCAAGCCCTGATTGATGATGATGAAGCTGTGAGGCTTCAAGCAAGCACTGTGCCCTCCATGCAACTACGTGTCAGATGCACCAGCAACCGGCCTTTGAAAAATGCCACTGCCCGGTGTCAGTCCCACAACGGAGGTTGTGGCCTTGCTTCACAGCGCAGTCGGCGCACGTGCGACAAACGAGATCGTGGAATGGCTGCTTGATCAGCTCATGGAGGAGGCTGGATCCCGCTCGCGAAGGAATGCAAAGGAAAGTATAGAAAAGACATGATGGCATCATCGCTTGGAGGCTACTGCACACGGCGATTATTCTGTTTTCAGCCAGGTGGTGGAAGAAGGCGACCTCTTCGTGCTCGGACTGGAGCAGCTGATGAAGAAGCAGCCAGGCCCGCCCGGCCCGGCCAGGAGTAGCTGAGCCGATGTTGGTCTCGGACAGGAGCAGTGAAGGACCTGGTCCTCAGTCGCTTGACCTCTCCTGGAGAAGACGGTTGGACCAGGTTGCAGGCACGGAAACTTCACCTGCAAAGCATTAAGTCCAACAGCGAGTGAACTGGTGCCCCAGATGCCTGCTAGGTGCAAGGGCTGGCCTCTCTCGCAGTGGTTCCTGACAGCCATACGGTCCACAGATCCTTGGCCAGACATGGTGCGCACAGCAGTGATTCCCAGTAGCAGATGAGTATCGCTTGCTAAGCACACCTGTCGGACGTGATGCCCGTCTTCATCAAAGTGGCAAGCATCGAGGCTGCTCGGCTTGAAACCGCAGCAGGGCATCGTGCCAACAACGGAAACGAGGTAGCTACTATACTGCCTGACCTCCATACAGCTCAGGACGAGGATCAGCCCGAGATGCAGGAGATAGCAATTGAGTCTGCGACGCGGGTGATGGACGCCGTGCAGCAAGACGGCTTGACGTTGTTGATGACGGAGCTGCAGGGGCCGATGCAGGAGACGTGCAGCAACATGCAGCAACAGGCTTCTGGCCCACTTGTTTTTGTCACAGGCGTTGCTGAGACTGGGCCCAAACTTTGTGCTGCGATCCAGTCGAAGCCTTCATAGGTCTAACGGAGTTCTAGACTAGACTCTAGACGACTGTAGCCACGGCATGGCGCAGGACAAGAAGAAAGCCTCGCACCGCAGAGTGGCAGCACAACTTCTGAAGCACGTCTTTGAGAACACTAGCCGCCCAACTGCAATGCTTGCACTTGACAGGAGCTTGAATTGAATTGTCAGTTCTTCTGGGCATCAGCGAGCCAGCCAAGCTTTATGTAGCCGTTTCCTCTTGCGGGATGAAAATCTGCCATGTTTCGGGAAAGTACGTTCCATTGCCAGAGCGGGCTTTTTGCTCGTTCGCCGGCCTGTCGATCAGGCTTGGAGGTGGTGTCCGTCCTGAGCCTCATACTCCCAGCGCTTTTACCATCGGCGCTGGCCGATGAGGATGGCGAGGCTCTTCTAATCTGACGTATTTCGCGAGCATTTTAGGCTGGAGGGAGAGCTTGCGCACTTTTCCGTCACTCGAAATCCCTCTCTTGTTCCTTGCTCACGTACACGTACGGCCTACCCACCTGTACACCTGTCCATCGACATGTGCAGCACATGGCAGAGCTCGCAGGCTCGAAAGGACGGACGGTTGCAGAACGAGAGACAGACATCCGGCCTAAGAGGCTGATAATCACCTCAACAGTGTCACGCGAAGAGGCAAAGAGCCCCTGACCCCTGAACCATATCATTTCTGAACACCCATTTCTCGTAAGGAGAGTTTCTCACAGCACTCACAGGCACCACTTGGTTGCGGTTGGTAGCATCCCTCGGCTCTTGAGCAGACCGCTGGAGACGCAGCCAATAGCTGCTGACACGCGCGTGCAGAGAAAGACAGACTGAGAGAGACAGCACGCAAAAACTCCGAAGTCAGGCTCTGGCTACTTCTATGGCAGCACTGAATGCCATCACAAAGAAATGTGCCTGCTCTGGTATTTGTGAGAAGCACTGCCGCGATACACTATAAAATGCATCTTTTCCCGCTTAGGCAAAAAGGAGGAGCTGGCCCCGTACTTGAACGATGTGCGCTCGGCCGTCCTCAGCCTCATCACAGACAGCCAAACCAAGAAGGAAGACCCGGACATCTTCCTTCCAGGACTCCGACGGACTCCGAAGTCGCCGGCTGATAGCTTAAGCCTGGAGAGCTTTAGGAGAGCTCCGGGACATCAGGCTTATGCCATGCGCTCTGAGGTTTTTCCGGCTCAGCAAGCATGGCGTAGACCCACTTTGCCATCTCACACGTTGTTGCTGCGTGCCCTGACTAGTACATCAGCCTGGCTGTCATCGAAGGGCCACGAAAAAGCGTGCTTCAAACCGAAGGGCTGCTTTTAAAACATGCTTGGTGCCAGCATGGTGCGGCGCTTGGCAAGCTTGGCGCCGGCAGCTAGGAGGCCTTTGGCGCTGCCGCGATGCGTGGGCCCTGCCCCGGCCGAGCGTCTTCAGACAGACATCGAGTGGCGACGGTTCCGAGCAGCCATGGAGGCAGACCACCCGAGCCTGGGCAACTTGCGCACGGCCGTGAGGTCATGTAGCCTCGTGCAGAAGGTTTACCGTCGTGCCTTGGACGGCCTGTTGCAAAATCTCCTAGAAGAGGAGATCCTGACGCAGGCTGCAGTGCTTCGGGATGCAGGCCATGAAGTCCCTCCGGAAGATCTGCTGTGCCTTATCCCAGCAGAACTTCTGACCGGAGAGCTCGGTGAGGAAATCGAGGCGATTGCATTTGATGTCCGGGTTGCCCAACAAAAGGCCGAGGCCAAGAGAGAGCTTCTGGTACAGGAGGACAGGAACAGACTGGCAGAGGCAGAAAAGCAAGAGTCAAAGCAGAGACGTCGTTTGTGTCGCTCCACGCACGACAAGACCAGACAAGAGATGCACCATCACTACGAAAGACCGTGGTGAGAAAAGTTTTCCACGGCCTTAGCACACCAACTTGGGGTCTTCTCGGATGCGCAGTCCTGCAGGCACTAGAACACCTTCCGAAGAGCCTTCCGCAAGACGAGCTGTAGACCTGGCCAGGCCGAGTGGAGCTGTGTGCGGGGCTATCGCCCCGATGCATCGACGTCTTCACCTCCCCTACTGAGTTGACGGCAGAGCCAGGGCTGCGAAAGAAAGGATCCATTAAAGGCAGATACCGAAGCGAAAGCTGCAAGGGCAAAAAGAACTGTTGCCTTGCTGCTGCTGGGCAAGTCTGATTTGCAACATAGTCATAGCACGAAAACATTTGGCACTTGCCAGCTTCAGTTGAATAATCTGGGGATGCGAAAACCCTGCCAAGGGAGCCATGCTCCTGCAGGACTTTGCGATCACAAGGGTTTGGAGCCTCTCTACCCCATCTACCAGCATGGGCTAATGTATGGGACTGCTGAAGCTCGAGAGTTGGCGGCAAAAGGCTGGATGTAGGTCACATTTCGGGGAGTGTCTGTGCTGCAGCCAGATAGCTAGCTGCTACTGGTAGCTACTGTCCTGTTCCTGGCAGAAACAGGGAATCGCACGGACCACTGCAGAACCCTGAAAGGTCTTGGCGAACTCGTCAACCACACAACGGAAAAGGCATTGGCACCCTATGCTGTCAAGATCACAGGTGGGAGGCATAGGCCGAAAAGTACTGCGGAGGGCTTCAACATGGGCTGAAATGACAGCAGGTCCCTTGATCCGCATTGTCGGTGACAAGTTCCCTGGCAACGTCAAGAAGGCGATCGTGGACACTTTGCAGGCCCTCCTTATCCGAGGAGGTGGGATCGTTCGAATCCAAAAATCCAGAGCTTTGTTTTCAAGTCTAGTTCTCCCGGCACCACCGGAAACATGCTTGCCTTTGCCAGAATGGTGAAGTAAGTATCACACATCACCTGATCCTGCAGGTGAGACACTGAAGCCTTTCCTGCCGCAGCTGCAGACAACCTACGTGAAGTGTCTCACAGACCCACCAAATTCAGAGGACGGCCTCACGGTGATGTGTGAGAGCTTCAGAGTGAGAGACGGGGTGAATGCGAGCAGTTGCCCTGCAAGTGTCTTGAATGCTACTCCACAGCAATCGTGTCCACAACGGCACCCTGAGATTTCTGGCGCCGCCCTAGGGGCTTTCCACAAAATACGGCAGGCAGTTCGTCGCAAAGCCGCAGAGTCCCTTGGACTTCTGGCACGAAGGCCTGGCAAAAGCTGGCGATGCAAAACGGGGCTCAACAAAACCTCGTTCACTCGCCTGTCGTCGGAAGCAAGTGTCTGCTGAAGTGTTTGGTGGATGTTTGGAGCCTGGGGGACATGTCTGGCATGATGACATGTCCTGCCATCTGTCAGGGCCGCGCGCACCGAGCCGCTTATCAATGAGCGCCTTCGTCATGCACTTTGTGGCGATAAGAGCACGCTGAAATGTCGAACCAGCGCAGATGGCGAGGCTCAGCGCTTTCCCCGGCAACTCAGACCCAGCTGCGCGAGTTGCACTCGTCGTCGCCCTGGGCGAGGCAAACAAGCTCCATAAGAGTATGCTTTTCTGCCATGGGATTCTTCTGATGGCAGTTGTGCGGCGACCACGCCGAGAAAAGACTAATATCTCCCGGTTCCAACCAACTTTCAAGTCCTGGGTCAGTTGCATCATTGGCCCTTCGACACTGACTGTTCTGAATGTTGAAGCTTCAGATGCTCCCCCATGTCACCAGCACCCGAGCTGCTTGGACAGCGTGGTGATGGCAGGTGCTGCTCAATGTGAAGCAGAGTCCAAGTGCGGCCGTCCAGGTGCTTATGCCGAAAAATACTGAAAGACGTTCCATGAGTCTTATACCCCGTCCTATGTGCATCCCGTGCATGCAGGTAAAGGCCTGCCAATTAATGAAAGACACCTTGCAAGTGTGGAAGTAGCCAGGAGAAGGCCTTGAATGCCGTGGTGTCTCGTGGCTCCACCGCCGACGCTGCAGCTGATGAGCGGCAGGTGCGAGAGTGTAATCAGAGACGATGCAGGGTACATGATTCGGGCCTTTTGATTTAGGCTGTTTGTTGACATTCAGATGCGGTGCAGCCCAAGGCCTGCGGCTGGGCTCTGGGCATCTTGCTGAGGAGGCATATGCCAGCGGAAGAAGCCGTGGAAGCATTCAATGAGAAGGCCGGGGCTGAAATCTGCTGAATTTGCCTCATTTGCTACCTTCTTGCCTTGCCGGTGAAGAGGGATCGGCTGCGGAATGCTGAGGATTCTGTCAAGTATGTAAGCTTCGGGAGCAGTGTACGAGTCCAGCGACAAGGTATCGCCGTCTATCACCGAGAAGGGTCCCCAGCGCAGCTTTGCAGCTTTCGCCCTAGCAGGCCTGAGTTTTCGAGCCGTGAGGAGGTCAAGCAATTGCACCGCAGCGCATTTTATGTTCACGTCATTTCACTGCATTCCCTGTGGCCGCAGGGATTTGTTGGATACAGCAGCCGAACCTCGCGGAGCCAGCCGAAGAGTCCTTGATGAAGCCTGCAGAGACCTCGAAGCAAGATGACCAAGCAGAAGTCGATGCAACGAAGGTTCGAACCTAGGTGCTTCTGCCTCTGCCCGGTTTAGGTTTCGCCAGCTGAGGACGATTTGTCGGTGTCCTGCCTGCCACAGCTCTTGAAGGATAAGGATGCCGAGGTCCGGCAGGCTGATGCTTTACTTTGAAGACCATGTTGCGCGAGCTTCAAAGCAGGTCCAGGCTGCTGGACTGGCGTTGGCTGCCAGTTTGGCGAAGCTACATGCGCAGCGACGTTGTAGCATTGTAGTATATTTTCGTAGAGCACTGTTGCTCACAGCGATGTTGCATGTACTCGCACATAGTGGTGCTTGCAAGGCTTGGCTGGATTTTGCATTGTCCCATCAAGTCTCTGCACACTGAGGAGCTCTGGATCTTTGAGCTTTGATCCGCTCAAAGCAGCAGCGGAACGTATCGCCGCGCTGGTCGTTTCAGGTTGCTTGGCATGGGTCTTTGCGGCAGATGTTTACAGGTCGGCTTCAACTTTGTGTGTTGCTGTCTCTGTCCGTCACAAGATGCCGCTTGCTTACTCAGGCGATGCGGGTGTCCCGGGCCGACTGCCCGTGCTGGCTGCGCGGCACTTCCTTGCAGCCTGTACGCTTGAGGCGCGGCCCGGCACCTGAAATCCAATCGTGAGTTGTAGCATCCATTGACATTGTGATCAAAGATCGTTTTGTACAGCAGCCGACAGGCAAAAGGAGTCTCCGTGAGTGTCGCTGCTGCGCAAGTGGCTGCAGCCGTGGCACAGCGCAGTGCCGCCTGGGAGGCCACAAGCTCCTAGCTCCTAGTGGAATTTCGATAATCTAGAATTGAAAATTGAGTCAGGATGCAGAGGACGGCGAACGTGCTTTGGCGGCTGCCTTGCCTGTCGAGAGCCGCAATGAGGTGTGCTACGGCGTGCTTGATACTGCACGTCGCTTTTGCCCCGCACCGAAGAATCAGATGGCATTTGTGCAAAGTGGCCGCGTCACACATTCCGGCCAGGAGGGCACAAAAGCAGCGCTGGAAAAGTTGGCGGGCTGCCTTGATGGCAAGGCAGGCAACAGTCGTGCAAGGTTCGTGGCATCCGGATTACTGCACTTGAGCTAAGCTACGCCAGACTACATGCTTTATTCATCTGTATCCTTAGCCACACAATGCCACTGCTGTACTGACATTTTTTCGACTGGACAGCCCTCAGGCAGCGCAGGCATTGAAGACCTTCGGAGCAGCAAGAATACGACACTTGGCCAACTTGCAAACCGCTCGTCTCAAGATCCCCTCCATGCAATGCCATGCATCGTTCCATGACTTCTCCACTGCTACTTCAAGGAAGCCTGTCGTTCTTCACTGGTTGCAGCGATTTCGCCTGGGACCTGTGAAGAGGACAGTGTGATTTACGCAGCCGGGTGCCGACAAATGTGTGTCTGGGCAAGCGAGCCATCCTAAGACCGGCTGGGCACACAACCAAACAGTCTTGCAATGGCACCGGCCTTGCAATACCGAGTCAGGGTGCATAGGACTCGAACGTGCCGCACGAGGTGGCACGTCTTTAGCATTCTTTCGCCGGTACAGTTTCATGGTGGATGGACTGCATTGTGAGCCCGGCAAGCTGTAGGCAAGCTGCTTGTGCTGTTCACATCAGCTCTTGTTCTCTCTTCAGAACTTGATTTAACACTGTCCTCAGCCGTCACACGACGCACGGTGCAAGCGGATGCCAAAACGAGCCCTTGACCCCATGCCATCATGAATTGAGGCTGCCATATGGCAACATGCCGCAGCTATGTGGCTGGATGTTGTGCTCGGGCACAGATGCAACACACTGTTGGTGCAAAGCCGAAGTTCGAAGTGAGTCGTGACAAGTCGCAGGCTGCCCGATTCCTGGCTGCCGTGGTGGACTGCGTGATTGTCCATGCCTGCACTGGGCTTCAGGACTTCGCATGCTTCCTTCGCTCAGAGTCTGGCATGGGGCGCTGGCAAGCCCGGTTGTGTGAGATCTTCAGATCCTGCAGGATGTTCCTGCCGAGTTTGTGGCCGGCAGCTCAGATTTTAATTGGATTAGGCCCCAAACTGACGTCCAAAGAGACTCAGACCGCATTGTCGCAGAGGCCGCGGGCGTTTGCTGACTCGGTTTAAGCATTGACCATGGCCTTTCAAAACAACGCAAGATGTAGTTGCTACGGGTAATGTTCAATCGGAGATGCAATTGCGAAGGAAGGACCACCCCAAAAGGCACCATGCTCTGAAACCGTTCACCGGCCCTAGACGAGTCCCTTGTGAAAGGAGTTCATCATTCCTCAAGGACCTCCCCTAGCTCTCGGCTTTCTGCGAGCAGGGCATCTCGCACCCCTGCATCAGACGCGGGTTTCGTAGTGCCAGTCTGCGGCCTTCAGGTGGTTTGCTGTCTCTTATGCGATAGGTTGCTCCGCTATGATATAACAGGGAGCTTCTTTGATTTATGCCTTTTCATGCCCGTAATTGTCATCTTCGACGCTTTCGGCTGTCAGTGACGCTTGTATTCCGCCCTGCACGCCAAGTCCGTAGGTGTTCATGGCATTACAATCTTCGTTTGGCATGTGGGTAGTGTAATCATTTGACCACATATGGGCAAGCAAGCATGCGGAGCTGAGTTGCAGCTTTGCTGGGTCAATCAATAAGAGATCTGCCGAAGTAAAATTGTTGCACTGCACCACTCAGGAAAGCGTCCCACCTTACCCCAACTTTCCGTGCCAGCCAGCCCAGTTCTCAGTTAACAAAAAACTCCCAGCCAGCCAGGCGGGAGGCAAAAGCAGTACCAAGAAGCTTCAGAACTCCTTGCAGCCTCCATGGCACTGGCTCCGCCTTCGCTTCCGGTCCTCCGCCTCTGGCAGCCGGTGGCCGGCTCTCCTTGCAGAGTTTTCACTGAAACCCCTGAGATCCGGGCCCCGCTTGCAGGAGCTTGTCCCTGGTTCAGTGGGCTCCTGGGACTGAGCGCCTGCCAGAGATTCAGGCCGAGAGCTGCCCGGTGTCAGACTCGAACCAGAGCCGGGCATGACGACATTCCGAAGACGTGTCATGCGAGAGGGAGACGCCACACCACTGCCAGCATTGCGTTTGGGGCGGCGGCACCGCCTCACCCTGCAACGGCAGAGTCTCAGAGACGTCAGGGTGACCTGGTGACGGTCAGAGACCCGGAGACTTACAGTGCTTTGGTCTACAGCCCACGGGATGTCAAAGGACCGCTGCCACTGCTGGTGGTCCTGCCTGGTGCTGGCCGTAACGACAAGGATGCGACCGACCTTGCAAACATCCGAGGGGAGCATGGTGGCCTGGCTCCGAGCCTCATTGCCGAGGGCATCGCACCAGCTGATCTGACAGAGAACTTCGCTGTGCTAGCGCCTTATGCTGCCGGTAAGAACAGCTTCTACGAAGAACCACGCAAAAAGATGCTTCAATTCATCGCCTGGGCTTGCAGTGACGCGGGAAGAGCTGCAGGCGTGCCAGCTGTGGACCCCAAGCGGCTGTTTCTATTCGGCTTCAGTGATGGAGCTACTGAAGTCATGGAACTGGCCAGCACAAGGCGCTTTGCAGGCTGTGTTGTAGCAGCCTACGGCTTCACTGGCGAGCTGCCACGCTTAGCTCTGGAGCGGCTGAAGGACATTCCTGTTTGGGTTTTCCACTCCGCCGATGACGTTATCTTTCCAGTGAGCTGCAGCGACAAGCTGGTGAAGCGTCTGAAGGAGACAAACTCTCGCGACGTGGTGCGATACACGCGCTATGACAAGGACCAGGAGGGTTTCACGGGTTCTGTGCGTGGCCACAGCACAGGGATCACAGCCTCCCGGCAGCCAGATCTCTATCGCTGGCTCCTGCAATTGGGACCACTGGATTGAGTAACGCTTCGAGCTTTCTGCCTTAGCTGATCCGGCACATGGATGCGGAGGGTTTGGACTTATCCTATGCCTTGGTGCCATGTGGTGGACAATTGACGAGAGTACTACTTCTAATTACCTCTATTGCTAAAATTGTGACGACGATTTTTCATGATTCGTCTACTACCGCCACAACCACGACGATTCCCGCTACCCACTTCCACTAGCACGACGAGTACTACTTGTGCTGCTACTGCTGCTGTTGCTGCTGCTAACTGTTAACTTCGAGCCGCACCATTAACACTAATTCAAAAAACCTACTGTTAACTACATTCTGTATCTACTACTACATAGCTACTACGAGCTACATCTAGCTACTACTTCGCTCTCCTACTCCGAACAGCTTCTCCATTACAAGGTACCACTAGCACTGCCGCTGCCATACCCGCTGCTACTACTAGGACGACGACTACTGCTACCGCTGCTGCGACTACGATGACGAATACTACTACCTGACTGGTGCTGCTGACAATGTTCCACTACTACGACGACCACTGCTACTACTCCTGCTGCTGTTATTACTGCTGCTGCTGCTCCTGCTGCTCCACTATTGCTACTGCACTGCCACTGCTACTTGACCTGCCCTACCCTATTCTATTTTACGACGATGACGACGACTGTCATCATAGTTAATAGTCATAACCACCGTTTTTGGTCGAGATGTGCAGGAGCTGTAATAAGTAATCGGGGTTTAATTGCAGCCGGCACGGCCCACATGGGTAGGGCGATGCATAGGAACTGAACCTTTTGCCGAGGATGAGGCTGCCAAACTGCCGGGAGAGCCACAGCTTCAGTGCTTGTGTGAGCAACTTCCCGTGGAGAAGCTTTGTGACTAAGTGTGAACATTTTAGTCATTAGAGTCTCCAACATCCTGCAGTCCTACACGTGTCTTCACATTCTTGCTTCTCTGCATGGTTGGCTGGAGGGTTTGTGGCGTTTCAGGTCTGGGCTGTTTGGGGACCTCGATCGAAACGAGACCAAAGACCTCAGATGGGTGCTGGATTATTGGCAGCGCCCCAAGTGGAGCTGGACGGCTTTCGCAGACGTCAGCCTTGATCGGCTTTCCTGCCTCAGGCGATCCAAAGAGCCCGGGCGCTTCGAGGAGTTCGCTTCTCTGTACTATGGCCGCTTGCTTAGCGACTCTTACCATGCACGGCACGCAGCTCCATGAGTGGTTCTTGCGGTGGGCAGTGCAGACAGCGCCGAACTCTTGGTAGAAGCTGTTGGCAGAAGGCTATTTCCTGGCCGTCATCGCTGACCAGCTCAAGGCATGAAAGTATGTGCCTTTGACCCACCACGATCACAATGCTCATATCCTTTTCAAGCTGAGAGCTCCAGCAGAAGCGTGCGAAGCCATGCCTGGCTCCAGCTTTGAAAGAGGTGATCGGTCAGCTGAGAGAAGATGAGCTTTCAATAGTCAATAGTATTCATTAAGCTGAACAGATCGTCTTTGTTCGCGCATCTGGCTATGCCGACCATGACTATGCCGGATATCCCATCTGCAATGTACCCTCTCTGGGAGGTGATTTCAGAGGAGCCTTGGCCGCAGGATAGGAACAAAATGACATGTGGAACATGTGGCTTGTTTCCTCCTGCACTTCTCCCAGGAGTGCAGTGCCTCATGCATCACGCTTCTCGAGCCGCAGCTTGACTTCGCAATCTGATGCCTACCGTAAAATCGGGGCTCGCCGGCTGTACAAGAAGTCGCTGCAGGCACCTTGGAGTCTTTGTTCGAACCGCAGACATTGCGGGACAGCAGCTTGGCCGACAGAGCCGCGGAGCCATCGTCTTCGGGGCGAGGAGTTTGCTTTGCGACCGGGAGACATAGCGCAACCCGTGCCTTGGTCACGTCCAGTCCGACCCCAAATGTATGCTTTTGCACCCGCTGCAGGGAGCCGTGTCAGCCAGATCACTGTTGACCCCAATTACTTATGCCACCAGCACAACCCCTTCTGAAATTTAGAAGCGCAGTGGCACATCGTCTATTCTTGCTTTAGGTGTCGTGTTGCCATTCAAATCCTTTGTCAGGCGCTTGTGTGGTCTTTAGTCCACCCATCCCAGCACTCTCTTGAAAGCCACAAGATTCGTGGGCCACTAGTTCGCCAGGGTTATATCTAAAACCGCATTTTGAAAAAGATCGAAGGATCTCCTCAGCAGTATGAGAGTCGAGATTCTTAGAAAGGACGAAGCAGGGATTGAGTACTGCCAAATCCGTTCCAACTTGGTGCTCGTGGGCATCGGGTAGGCTAAGTGGCCAGATCTATGGATCCACAGCAAAACCTTTGGTGTACTAGTGCCGGGGCATTCTGAGCAAACAACGCTACAGTTACATTTGGAACAGGCAGGGCATGGAGAAGTTGCGGGCCTTCCTTCGCTGCTTGGGTGCCTCGGCACATACGGGGGGATTCCAAGTGAAAGACACGTGCAAAGAATATGTTCAAAAGCTGTCAACGCAAAGCTTCACCGCCATGCGTCACGTTTGTGATAGTTTTCAAGTCGGTGCAAAGACACGATGCATTCCCTGTAGGTGGATTGCACAACCGCGCTGAGCATGCAGAACGTGCAGCACGTCACTGGCAGAGTTTATGGGAAGAGTCATTTCGCAACTTAGGCTGAATGTTATTGGACCTAAGGAGCTAGAGATCAGGCTTTCGATGTGGTCTTTGTGGTTCCACAGCCCAGGCAAGATCTTGGACGTGCGCCGGACAGCAGACAGTTCAACTCTTGGCAGCTTGCATGTAATGTGGTTGCCTGATCTCGTCATTGCGCCAGAAATGAAACCCTTGGATTTCTCGAGGAGCGACTCAGACGGGATACGAAACGCGAGTTGTTCTCGAGACAAGGTCGCGTCTTCCTTGCTCAAACCCAGCATGGCGTCGAAGTATGTCGAAGTCTAAATATCGATCCCTGACGACCACTTCCAGATTTGGAGGTTAAGACTTGCGAGGTGAGGATGCCACGTCGGAGCTGCAAGTTCTGGATTCCAACTCGTCGTATCAAATTGGACCCTGGTTAGCTCGATGAAAAAAACGTGCCGCGTGCTGGGAACATATCTTGGGGCAGAAGGCGTGGCAACTTTTGGCCACAACATTCAAGGCCTAGCTCCCCACGTTGACCTTTGCGATCTTGAAGATCTTGATACAGTTAACCGCTTTCAGGATCAAGCAGTAAGCATGCCTGCAGAAGATGAACTGTGTGTAGCAGCACCAACACTTGCGGACAAGTCTTGCCTTTGAAGTTTCGCCTCGTGAACTGAGGTTATGAAGTGCAAGTTTCTGATCTACTCACAGCCCTGAGCAGCACCAACCGCGAGCGAGAGCGACTGGCCAAAGAGCTGGAGAGCATGCAGCGAACCTTCCAGGCCGGTTCGCCGTTGGCAGCCACACGGGATTTCCTGAGAAATTAATGCACCCCCCACCGTCAGACCTTCCTGCTACTGCGAGCATGTTGAGGTTTACTGAGGGCTGCTTAAGTTCATGAAGTTGTTTGCCCCTGCAGTCCGCGACGGACACGCAGCTTTGGCATCGATACGGCCAAGAGCTCCAACTCAGGCGCCCATCCTGAGAGTACGGTGCAACGACTGCAAGCACGATTGGGAGAGCCAAACAAACATGTCAATGCAAACTTGGCTGCAGGCAGCTGTGGGGTGCTACTTCCGAGCAGTTCAGTCACTGTGCGCCTTTTCTCAATCCTGTTTGGGATTGCGTGCTGGTGATGACATGGGACCCACCAGGAGACTGTATACATTGCCTTATGCAACCATGACTTTGGTTTCCTTCGGGTTCACACCCTGGCGACACCACTACAGACTGTCCAGCTGAAATCCTCGCACCTAGTCCGAGTCGAAATCTCTGTCCCGAGGCATTGCTTCAGCGCCAGCTGGCTGCCGAAGCGGCCGTCAGCAAGCAGCTCCGCAAGGAGCTCCTTGAGGCCGCCTGTCTTCAGTCAATACTACGAAGTTAAGAATAAGAATACTCGAGAAGACAGTTTGCAAGAGAATACAAGAGAGTCTGTCGCAACGTGAAATCACTCGGCACGTGCTTGAGTCATTCTCGCAGCTGCTATTGCCGCGTGTACAGTAACCGTCGCAGCAGTCAAAAGTTCTGTTTGAGCTTGATCAGGCACAGCAAAACCACAGCGTGGCTGAAGCCAAGCATGGCGATGCGGACGCCCGTGCCAAAGAAGCCGACAGGGCCTCGATTGAGATGTCGCGTTGCAGACCAGGGGAGCTGTCGTCTTGGCCTCCTAAGGAGCGCTACGCAGAAGGAGCAAAGGACTTTGTCCACAAGCAGGCCGAATCGTTGCACCGATGAACTTCCCCGCTCTGTACACGATTAGGAATAAAACAAATTGGGCCCTTTGCAGCCTGGAAGCAGGAAGCAGTTGGTGGTATGGGCGGTATAGGATGTGATATATTGGTATATCGATAGGGTCTGAACTTATGGTTGCAGTCTTGCATGTTAAGTTTGCATGTGTCACTTCCATGTTGTTGTCTAGGTCCCCCGTCCCGACACTCCAAACCAGAACAACCCATATCAGCCTCTGCTGAGGGGTAGACAATGTTGAAGCGAGGTCGACGATGCGCTGAAGTCACAGTGGAACCAGTTCCAGGAAGAGCTGGAGTTGGAAAGGAAGGGCTGGCGGAAGGATGCGGCCGCAGCCATTCCATTGCCCCTGGCAAGAGAGGTGCACCACTTTGGCAAATGGTTCGTTACGTACGGAGAGCAAACACCCTGAGTTTGCGTGGGTCTGGGGTGGGGAGCTTCTAGCAGCTAATGAGGGGAAGGCCTGGAATTGTGGCGGTGCCTTTTCAGACCATGGTCATATTGTATCATTCCACAGCCTTACCATGCGTATATGGCTCCATTTAGGATCCATTGCAAAATCAAAAAACGGGGCCTTGAATCAGAAACTGCGCATCAGAAACCACCCCGCATCAGAAACTGCACATCAGAAACTGGAGTTTGGAAACTGGTGCGGGAGCTTGGAAGCAAGGCTGTGGTGGTGAGAAGAAAGCATCCATGGCCCAACCATGATAAAGGCATGGTCTAATGCGTTCTGAGCACAGAGCATCCACGGCCCAACCATGATGACGTCCATGGTCTGATGCATTCTGAGCCCGAGCATCCATGGCCCAACCATGGTCCAGCCACGGGCGTTGTCAACGTCCATGGTCTGCTGCAATCTGACAGGAGAGCATCCATGGGGGGGAGGGGGGGCAATGATATCGTCATGGTCCAACGAGATCTGAGCGCAGAGCATCCACGGCCCAACTATGCTGACGTCAATGGTCTAATGCGTTCTGAGCCCAGAGCATCCATGGCCCAACCATGATAACGTCCATGGTCTGAGCAACCATATATGCAACCTGACAAGAGAACATCCAGGTGGGGGTCATGACAACGTCCATGGTCTGATGCATTCTGAGCACAAAGCAACCAGGGCCATCCATGATAATGTCCATGGTTCTAAGGCGTTCCGAGCCCAGAGCATCCATGGCCCAACCATGATGACGTCCATGGTCGAATGCGTTCTGAGAAGAGAGCATTCACGGGCCAACCATGACAACATCCATGCTCCAATGAGTTTTGAAAGCCGTTCCCTAATCACGGCTGGCGGTTTCCGAAGTATGCGTCTGGTTTTTGAATCAGCCGTTGCGGTTTCCGAATCAGCTGTTCTGGTTCCGAATCAGTCGGTCGGTTTCTGAATCAGCGGCCGTGGTTTCCGAATCAGCGGTTCTGTTTTCCGAATCATGGCTGGTTTCTGATTCAGCCGTTCTGGCCTTGTTGCCGAATTTTCCGCCGACATCCGCCGACCCTCCATTTAGCTTGCTAACCGTCCGCCCTGAACAAGTTCTGTTATGGTGGTTGGCAGCAGACCGCGCAAAAGCTGAGCATGTGAGAGAGATACGCATGTGAATATGGGAGTATAGCGTCATACAGGTCGAAGCAAATGCTAGACACAAAGCAAACCTCGGTTTCGTCTCATGTGGCCCTGCTCCGCGCTCTTTTGTAGGCCAGGTGCTGCAAGGGGCGTCGGAGAAGCCAGGTCTCTTGCAAAGTTCAATGCACATTGGACCAGGATGTTTGGATGACACAGTTCGGGCAGCTCGCTCCGTTATGAAAGCGTCAGAACCGGCATCCTGAGCCCCCATGGCACAAGTCGCGCGAGACACCGGTGCTGCAGAATCCCGGGATGCACCACAGACATAGCGCCCGGGACTTACGAATGAAATGCCGTCGCGTTTGCATCACTGAGGGCTATTTTCCAACATTGCCATGTATTTCGTTCTGTACCTGATGAAAGCATGCCATAGGCGCGGTTTTTGTATCGCTATGACCTTGGAGATCTTGAGCCTAAAATACAGGTGTTTGGGGTGCTCGTTTGCAAACAAACTTGACCGTGCTGCTTGCCACATGTTTTGCGGTTGCTTTTGAGGCGACGATGTGTCCACCAAGATCAAAACTTGAACCCAACAACCTGGACAGTTGAGTCCCCGAATCCACAGCAAACCAAAACATGATCGTTTCTTGTTTGTTTTGGCTTATAGTCAACTCGAAATCGCGGAGAGGCGCAAAATCGAGCAAAATCATCGAAGTTTTGCGATTTACAGCTTTGGGTCAGTGGAAATCTTACGTCTGGCGCGAGGTGCTGGCTGCCTACTCGGACCTTTGGCGCTGTACTTCTGGCCAGGCAGGACCACAGACACATGTCTCATGTCGCAGACAGACTTGTAGAACCAAGAGGTCCCTGGCCGGCACAGAGCCCAGGCGGAACGAGCATTGAGGCACCCGCTTGCAACACTGGAACTGTGGCTGCTTACCCTGCATGCATGGCTCCTGCGCCCAGGCGTCTTCGAGATCTTGATGCCTACGCCGTGCTGCTTCCGCCCCAGGATGAGATGCTTCAGGACTGGAACTTTTTCGTACCAAGAGGGCTTGGCGCCAGGATATCACCAGGGAAGTTTCAGCACATTTCGGCAATGGCGGTGCTAATTGAGAAAGAACTCTTGCCTTCACTCCGAAGAAGCACGACTTTGGGGACGACAGGTTTCCAATCGCTAACTATGTTTAGGAGTCAGTTTCGACTTGGAGAGCTCTTAGATTTACAAGCCTCGTGCTGGGCGTTGCCGTGCACCTAAGTTTGCTTGGTTGTAAAATATGGTCACTCCTTCTGGCAGTAGCATCCGTAGTGTGGACGCTTAGACGGCAAGCAGCACGAAGCTTGCAGTTCTACGAGTAGCAACTCAGCCTTTTTCGCCAGCTTTTTCGCCAGGAGCCTCTGCGGCGGGCAGTCGGTGAGGCCGACGCAAGAAGCATGGCAAAGGCGGGTCTTCTAATCATGCTGCTGCTGAGGATGCGAAAAATGACCATCATCGTCATCATCATCGAGATCATTACAAAAAAACATAACCTTAGTGACCATGACATCATCACGACTCACGACCCTCCCTAGATCGTTTGTCGTCCTAGGCCTAGGCATGATCAACTCTGATTGCATAGGCATTCTTCGTTCTGGCCCTAAGCACGAGCCGTCTGCAACACCGCAACCGCCCACGTAGCCGCAACCTGCGTCGGAGAGGAACATGTGAGTAAAATCGTTTCTCTGAACGCCGCAATCAAGAGGCCGGTGACTAGGAGAAACAGTTTCGATTCTTCGATATCAGTGCACCACCATGGTAGACCAAAGAGGGAGCGTCCTGCCGCCGGACGCGCAGCCATAACGTAGGAAACGCGACAGAGTCTGTAGTGCAGAGTACGTGTCCGCAGCTGCTGTCGTGGTCCGCTAGCATCAAGTGAACATCTGGCGGAAGCCTCCAAAGTTATAGCCAGCCATAGTGTTGAAAGACGTCAAAATATCCCCAGCCCCACCCTAATGATCGGTGTTCTCGGTCGAGTGCTGCGGAGGCCCTGGTGGAAGAGCTGCAGCAGTGCCACACGCCCGCTGAAAAGCGGCTTCTCTGCAGTCCATCCTCAACTACAGACACAAATTGTGCGCCGCACTTTCGTAAACTTCAACTTGGGTTGATACTTGCTCGCTGCTTGCTTGCAGGTCGAAGAACGACTTGAGCGGCTGGGGCGCAACGACTCAGAGCTCGCACCCGCGAAGTCACGTGCCAGCTGCCCGCGAATCTATCATGTGGCGTAAAGAAAGGGATGAAACGGGGAAGAGACCGAACGTTGACATGCTTCGTGTTCCAGTCTGTACGAAGCCATCTCGCACAAATGCCCTGCAGCCGCGCGTCAGTAGGCACGCTCGAATCACTAGAGACTCATTCGAAGCCCATCTATGCTAACCCTGAATTCACATCCTTTTCAGCCTGGAACACGCCATGTCCGGAATCATTGAACCAGTTTGTCATGCCACGCCATGCTTCTGAACGAAAAACTTACACGCATCCCTCACCCGCACTAAGGTCGCTCCGTGCCCGGACAATGATTATGGCCTCCGAGAATCGGTAGCCACGGACATGTCAAGAAAGAGCACCAAAGCTGTGCTCGGCCAAAGACCCGCTGCATTGGAAAAAGACGGCAGAAGCAGACATGAGCGCTCACATGGAAAAATATGTATGTATATATATATATATATATAAACAATATATACAATAAATATATATATATATATGTAATTATATATAACAATATATACAATATATACAATATATATATATATGTATATATATATATATGAGAGAGAGAGAGAGAGAGAGAGTCTCGTGGGCATGGCTAGAGCAGAGGGCCCCCCCGCGCATGGAAGGCTGGGGCTGCCCGAGTCCGTGGATCTCCGCGGCTGCATCTCGGCGAAGTCTCGTTGCTGTTAAGAAGATCCACGTGGGTGGTTCCGAGAATAGGGAACCCTAATATAGTAATAGGATCCTTATTATAAGGACCCTAAAATAAGGTAGCCCCCAAGTCTCGTTGCTGTTAAGATCTAAGGACTTTAGGAGGGACCCCTAATAGGGACCCTTAATCCCATTACCTTATAAGGGATCCTAGAGCCCTTAGATAAGAAGATCCATGTGGGTAGTTCTCTAAATTAGGGTCCCATTTTGGGGTTTAGGGTTTAGGGTTAGGGGTAGTTCTCTAAATTAGCGTCCCATTTTAGGTCCCCAACACCCTTATAAAAAGGGTCCTAGAAGGAACCCTGATGTAGAGAACTGCCCATGTGCATGTATGGCCACGGACACCTTCTGAAAGAACAGTAGATCACTCGGCTTGCCCTGTGTTCAGATTATTAATCTTTAGCGGTAGAGTCTTACAAGTTCATCGAGCATTGCCCTGAGAACCATCACCGTGATGAGCGACACGAACATCGTGCCTCTACTTGCGATTTACAACCTCACCAAAGCCGCGGCAAGGACTCCGGGCTATATGCTTGTAAGGGGAGCTAGAATCTTTTTTCGGGTGCAAAGCTACGCCATTTGTGGGAGGCGACCTCCGTATCTCTCGGCACTCATCCATGAGTTGCCAGGGGCTCAATGGCCCAATCTTTCCGGCTCCGAAGTCGTCGCTGTTTTGTGGACCTGACAGCAGCCACATGTAGCCACAAGGTATCGGCACAAAAAGACTCGCCAGTTGTTCATCCGAGCTCGGCCGCTGAGTTGTTTTCCGCTTTAGCATCGTGGGAAGCACAGGCAAGTGCTTCTCAGGTTCTCTACAACGGAGAAGTTCAAAAGGCCCCGGGACCAAGCCGCAAAGAGATCAAGCAACTCAGTGAGATCACCTCGAGGTTTGCCACGGGCATGGTATGGGCTTGCTCTGTCCTCTTGAAAAGCTGCTTGGATCAACACAGGCACGCATTTGCCTTCTACCTCTCTTGCACTGCCTGATTGCATAGGTGGGAGGAACTGGTGGCAAGATTCACACCATCTCCAGAGTTGGCCACTCAGAGCAAGTTGCCGCTCGGAGATCGCATCGCACTGGCTCGCAAGGGAATGTCCTGTTCTCTACGCTGCATACGACTTCCAAGCTCCCAGGCAGCTGCTTTTTGCGATGCGTGGAGTTGCACAAACCATACAACACTCTCTGCATGTGTGCAGGCAACACACTGCAACACCAAGACAGGTTTGCAAGTACCAATGCAGAGCAAGCAGTCGCAGATTTAGGAGTGCTGATTGAAGTGCGTTGAGCCTTAGTTTCAGATGCGACTCCCTAATCTTTCGACAAGGCCTCGTGCCCGAAGAAAGCTATAAAGCAGGCGCTTTTCAATTCTCTTCAGATAAATGCAGGAAGGAGACGATGCCGCCGTGGCACAGCTGGCCACAAGAAGTTTGGAACTGGCTTCGTCAGAGAGCCCACCAAGCTCGCTCGGATCTTCCCTCAGACGAATAACGAATGAGGTTTTTCTAGATTCCACATTTGGCTAACATTTCAAGTCACGCAGCAATGTTACATGCTTCCGGTTTGGGTATCTTTCATGCTCGCGCGATGTCAAGCCCCTTTGAGAAGATCTGACACCAGTGCAGTACTTGCTGCAGCCGTCAGCAGCCATTGTGAGCTCAGGTGTTGCAGCAGCATAGGATTGACGGTCAGGCCGAAGTCTGAGACGCCTGACGATCCAGCATGAAGCGTTCAGCATGTTTGGGGCTTGCTCGGTGTTGAATGTGCTGCTGTTCGGCTTCGAGCGTCTATCAAAAAGCCGCAAAGCTTTGCGACCTCTTGGACCAGCGCATTTGTCAGCTTTCCGTCACTCTACTCCGTGCATCTCCATACTGGCAAGCTTGGCTTGCTAGCTAGCTTGTGCAATACCAAGAACAACAGGGCATGAGCTCCAAAGTCACGAGTCGGCACAAGTAACACATGCGACAGCGAGTGCTATGGCTACAGCTGCAGCGATCTGTCGAACATGGGCGTCAGCGGCTATCTCGGACTCGGGCATATATGCCATGTAACTGCTGTTGCTTCATCCTATAGTGGATCAGATGATCACATGTATCTTTCCTACGTGGCGGGTCCGGAATCATATCCGGAGCTACCTGCACTGCTGCCTACTGGAGCCGAACCGGTAAGACGTTGCTTCTTCAGCCTTGCCATCCAGGTGCGCGCACATGGCCGCAGAATGCTTGAGGACATCTACGACACTGCCTGCAGGCCAGGGAGCGGGGGGCATAAGTAGGGGGAAAACCGGCTCAGTAGAGAGGTCATCGGATGCAGCCCATGCTAGCGCTGCCTTCTGCGGCTTTTGGAGGCACCGGGCCATGGACCCGCATCCTCGCTTTCCCGAAGAGGCACATGTTCGCGACGAACATGTTGTACCTTGGATGCAAGATGCAGTAGCAAGTATCAGCCTCAGTTGCCGCGGAAGCATGCCATCCGGTTCAAAAGTATTGAAACAGACATGCTGCACAGTAATGCCTGTGGATGTGTCTTTCTGACAAGCTTGTGGATCTAAGATGACCAGAGACGAAGCAAGGCGTAGTCGAATGTAGAACGTTTCAGGAGTTGCATCAGTCGGCATGACCCCAAAAATTGGATGAACGAGTATAAAGAAGAACAGGATAAAGTTTGGGCAGAACATAGCACAGTTTAGCTGTAGCAGAAGTATCAACTCGCGGCATGCAGTGTGCGGCTGGGCCAAAAAGCCAATGAGCTGGCAGAGTGGCGTGGTGGCATCCTTCTTAGGGTCATTTACGGGAACGCTGGGGACGCAGCTGAGGATCAGCTCCCTGACGCAAGAAGTTACAGCCAGAGCTCAGTTTTTGGCGATTTGTGGCTGGGGATTTTGGGGATTTGGACAGCTCTTGGGGCAGGTGGCAATTCTCTTAGCACCAGCATCTTTGACAGCTTCTGTGAACTTCAGTGGCTCGCTTTTAAGTAATGCAGTGTTGGCGCCTTTTGTCCTTAACGAAAGACTAACTAAATTGCACTGGCTGAGCGTGCTGCTACTCGTGGTCGGCAGTGGGATGGTGACGTCGTCCTCCAGCCACGCAGACCAGAAGTATTCCTACCTGCAACTCTGCCAACTTGCACATCGACCGACCTTTCTTACCTGTGCAGTTGCTTTCGCTGTTTTGTCTTTGCTTCTGGCCTGCCACGCGCTGAAGAGACGGACATTGGAGCTCCTTAGCTTCGCCTACCTTTTTGCGCTCATCGGTGCCATCGACCTCTTGGTCACGAAGTTCACGTTGCAGCTGCTGCGCCTGGTGGTGGTCGGCAAACGTGATGCACCTGCCGAGGGGGTCGTGACATTCTTCACAGCCATGACCTTGGCGTTGCACGTTGGCGTTTTCGGTTGCCAAGTTGCTGCTGCATATTACAGGAAGGCCCTGACAAGTCTGCCCTTGTTTCTTGGGAGTGGTGCCCTCATGCAAGTGATTGTGTGTGGTACTTTTTTCGACGAGTTTCACAATTTCGGACTGAACCAGCAGCTCCTCTCCTTCGGCAGCGGTCTGCTTCTGGTCATGACAGGTATGATATGCACAAGTGTGGCAACTAGCAGTTTTCGGGAAGAGGTCCCAGCATCAGCGCCAACCACACCGGAAATCCCCGACATGGAAGCGGGCAAGGGCACAGTGGCTGTCCAAGATGTGCAGCCGCGGCCTCGAACGCCAAGCAATGTAAGCCCGAGCTCAAATCGGCGGTCGGCCGTTATTACTTCTGGCCTTCTGGAAAGGAGTAGCTCTTCCATGTCCTCTGCTGATCTCCTTCTGCTGGGTGACATCCAAAGAAGTGCTTTGTGCTTCGGGGGGCGTTATGCAGTCGGAAGAGTCACAACGTCGAAGATCAGCTTGCACCGCCGCTTTGCTTCTGACAACTTCCTCCTGATGCCGCTCGCATCCCACCAGGACCCCGACATCAAGGAAGGAAGCTCGGCGATCTCTCCGGTAGGACTGGAGGGTCCCGGAAAGCGAAGCCTAAGTCTAAAGTAGGGACCTGCCACTTGCGGGTAGTGACTCGTACTGAGGACGGCTTGGTCGAGCAGCCAGCGCACCTCCAGGCACGGAGCCCATGGACATCGGGATCCTCGGCTTGCGCCGAGAAGCATCAAGTTGACACGACTCACAACCTATTGTGCCAATGGCCAAGCTTGAGATCCAGCTTCTTGTGATTAGGATGGAATTTGTGGTCTCAGACTTCTCGCTGGCTCTTTTCAGGGCCAGGACGAAGTCCGGCTAGTTGATTCGACAACTGAAACACTTGGCCAGAGACCCACTGCTAGTTTTGTTAGGTGCCCCATAATGTTTCTATCCGACGTAAGGTATGGAAGGAAAAACGGCAAGACGATTCCAAACAGGAACGCGGGAGCTTGCTGAAAAGGTGTCTTTGCGTGCGCCAGTGCCAGGATGAGAAGTGCAAATGACTAGCATCAGTGAGTCTGGAAGGAGTTGACCTTCACTGATCACATGTTTCCCTAGCCTGCCTCCCCGATTAGCCCCGAGACCAGCTGATCTTGGAAGACCTGGAGGTGCCTTTCAAGCGACCATCGTAAAGGTACACTTCCATGCAGCGATCGCCGGTTGTGGTATTTGGTGAGGGTTTGCTTTCTTTGCTGCTACCTTGTTATGTCGTGTCATCCCTATTGACATACACACACATATACATATATATATATATATATACATACATATACATATGCGTGGGATTGTGGAAGGATGTGGAAGGCAGAAGGACCATGCCCGTTTGGCCAAAGGCCCATGCATGTGCCTGTGCTGCCCAAGATCTTACTACTGGGTCTTTGCATGCCTTTTGGTTGATCCAACGTTCTTTTAAGTAGTCGCTGGCACGCAGTTGAGTCGAGTCAGCCGCCTGCGCGAGTGTGAGTGAGAAGGTAGATGGATGCCTTCGCAAGCCAAGGGTGTCTGCTGCGTTGACGCCAGCATCTGACCTGTTCGTGCAGAAGCAGCATGGTGCACCGATAGATACGTGCCGCTTGCAAGGCGCACCGGGAGCATCAAGCACAGTCTTTTTGGATGTTGCCTGCATCTGCCTGCGTTCCGGTTAGAGTTGTGTTTTTACTGCGTGGATCCCTTGTGAGGCTTCTTCGTGCTCGGTGTCGTGCAGGGCGTGACATCATGGCTCGTATACGTCAGCCTGTTCACGCGGTGCTTTCCACTCGCGACATGGCCGCAGACGGTGTCTTTTCGCCCGTGAATCAACATGGCAGAAGATGCACAAGACTCGCAAGACTGTGTCACCGCCGTGCAAACAGCACTGGGCGATCAGACAGCCGAGCTGCGAGAGAGCGGAGAGGGGCTTGAGGCAAATCTTAGCGGGCAACACAATTCGTGGGGGGCATCTGATCGCCCGCCGAGTGCTGGGCCCGAGAGGCCCGAGACGCAAAGGCCTGCAGAAAGCTAGGGCGAACTGTCTCGCGAGGTTCCGGGCACGTCGAAGTTACGCCGAGTGAAAGAGTAAGACGTCCAATAAAACCCAGACGGAAGAACTAGCAATCGTACTGTCGCATCCTGACGCCCTGCTTCAAGTGATGCCTGTTCGATCGAACCACCATGCGGAACACATGGAACACTACATGTGTTGCAGGCAACGCGATTGGTTAACTTACCTCTCAAAGACAAGTTCAAGGTTCACTGCAGTTAGAGCGGACAAGATGCATCATGCAGTTTCGATGTCACAATGCACAGAATGATGCGGAATGCGTTTGACATCCTTCGATTATGGAACAGGATTGGCCTGGGCTGCGGCAGCTGTTTCTGCAGATTGCTTTCGATCTGGCCGTGTATGCTACTCGGCTGAAGAACCGGCGGACAAAGATCATTGTGACAGTGCTGCACCTCTGACTTTATTAGCTCATTTTAGTGATCTCAGCCTGTGCAACGTGCTTCCGATCGGTCAGCTTCTCACTATGTGTGAATTGCCCACGCCTCTCGTGAAGTGTTCGAGTTTCAGAGAAACTGCGACGATCAACGAGGTGCCTTTTGTCCATTTTCCCGTCTTCTACATTGCACAAGGACGGGCGTTCACGCTTTCTGCAGTAGCGGGATTTGACGGTTTTCGGAACCTTCACAGCTACCTTGGAGATATGTTAAATGTTCCATGCAACATGGCCAGTCTTTTCGCGCTTGTTCTAAACCTGATGTTTGCTCGGGTCCGCGTTGCACGAGCAATGACGGGAGGCGCTGCGCACGGCGAGGATGCATCATCCAGCCTGTCCAGGCATCCCTTTCATTCGCATCCCTCCTGTTGCCTTTTGGGTGCGAGTCTTTTGAGGTGGCGTTCTAACCTCCTGGCTGATGCTGCAGGCCTTCGATTCGCACTTTGCTCATCAAAGCACACGCTTGCAACTTGCAACACAGTGGCCACCGGTGAAACAAGCAAGTACTCACAGTACGCGATGCTGACTTTTCGTTCGCCTGGCACTCGTAGTGTTTAGCTCAAGAAACTGGTGAACTGAACTGGCTTCATCCGCAGGTGGAGCTGCGTTTTGGCTCCCAATGGATGTGCTGTGCTTCACCGTTCCAATGTGGCTCCGCATGCCGATCGGGCGTCAGACTTAGATGCATGCGCGAGTCTTTTTCGCATATGGTATCGTTCCTGCCTGCCTTTCTGTCTAGATGTCACGTGTTGGCTTGCGAGGTACTTTACCACTTTCTGGTACGCCGCGCTGGTTTCCGTGTTTCGGGGCGGTGAGTTGTCAGCTTCCTTGGAAAAGAAAGATATGTTTCAGACAACTTCGGCCGGAGAAAATTGTTCTCCAGGCTGAAAGATTTATTGATTCCATAGTAGCTTTTCGTCTGATTCTCATCTAGAATCAAACTCGCGGGATATGTCCACTTCATCCACGGCGCTCCAAAGTGGAGCTTGCCGCAGCGCCTCAAGGTCAAAAGACTTGCAACTGAGAGGGCATGTCCAGAACACACAAATCGACTTCGGCGCTTGGGCCCTGCTTTTCTTAGGATCTAGCTCTGGGAAGCCTCCTCCTGATGGCTTCTTGCCTCTCTGCCTGGTGCAGGGGCCACAGCTACCAACGATCTGAACCACTTTCCTCAAGAGAAGTTGCTGTCGCTGCCCGAAATTCTTGTCGCCAAGGCTTGTGTCGACGAAGACGGTCGACGGAGCAGAGCACTAGGTGGGACGGAATCTGTGCAGCATCTCCCTTCGCAGTGTGGCAACACTGGGCTTTTGCGTTCGGGGTAGAGGAATCAAGTTGCTGTGATCCCCTGCAAAGCGCGAGGTAGGCGCGCACGGTGGTTTCGCGGCATGCTGCGCAGTTTCAATTGAAACCGCGTGCTTTCCACAGTCCCTCTCAAGCCGCACACCGAAATTGACTGCAAAATCGCACCCCCACCACAGTGCCCTTCTCGTTTTGGCCTTTGTGGTCGATCGCTAAAGTCCCCGCCGGGCCAACCCAAGCACTCGTCAGTGTGGCCCCGACATGCCGCCGTTCTAATGGTTCGGAGTTTGGAGGTTTGCGTAAGTCTGAATCGTTCTCCTGCCACTGTGCCGTCCGTATTTTGGGGTGCGCATTGTCTTCCCACTACGGTCCCGTGCATTTCCGCACCAATCGTGCTGCTGCCGTCTCGGGTGCTCTTGGAATGGTTCCGGGGTGTGTAATTACACAGTTTAGGGTTTGGAATTCGATACGCTTTTTTCACTCTTTCGGCTTTCTGGTCCAGTTACATTGGCATTTCTAGTTTTTGGATGGGTTGGCTGAAATCCGGACACTGCCCCATCCATTCATAGTAGGTCGAGTAGGGCGACACAGACAGTGGTTCTCAGAAGTTAATACCTGTACTATCTTGTACTTGTAGTCTTGATTTGTACTACAAGTAGCAGTCGAATTGCAGGTAGCTATCAGTTCTGAACATCAAAATGATCTCAGAACACGCCAAAGCGCAGTTCAATCTGCTACCCTGCAGAGCGCCAATGGCTTGTGAAGCCTACTTTGCAGGAACTTGCTCTCTCTCTCTCTCTGACTCTCCTCTATATGTATAAATTCCAAGATGCATTGTATGCACATTACGAACACACTCACACACCCACGCTGGAAGAGACAAGCATGCACGCTCAAGTGGATGTGAGGCTCGCAGCAGACTCTTCGGACTCGGACAACACGCCGATGCCTGTGCGACAGGCGCTTCCCTGATCGAGAACAGTTGCACCTGATGGCATCTGAGCGCATGCACTCTGCTGGAACCAACTGTGTGGTGTGGCCGCGCGGAGGCACCTCTGCAAATGCCGCTGCTTCAGCCAACGTGATGTAAGCAGCTTGCAGAAAAAGCAAGCTGCCGCAGCGTTTATTGTCTTTTTGTGTTTTGTGACGAGATAGTGTTTGCTTTACCGGAGTTCCACACGCATGTCTAGGGCTGGGGGGACCTGCAACCAAGTGCTGCGTTTTGTGGGAATATCGCTAAACGTGGGGTGCTGGGCACATTCTCGACGTGAACCTATCGGCAGTGGCACATTACATGGTGCACCAGGCAGCGAATTTCCTAGCATTTACCACGCTTTGGGCCTTCGCGGATCCGATTTGCCTTTCTTGGGGGGATCTAATTGTTCATGGTTTTCGTTCGAATTGTTTTCTCGACTAAGCTCGGATCCGGGTCCCTGAAAGGCTATGTATGCCTAAACTCAAGTCCGAATTGCACAATCACAATTAAACCATGAAGCCCCAGCCCCAGAAGCCAAAACTTGCCAAAAAGCAGCAGCAAACCAGAAACCTCCATTTCCGCACGCCGCGAAGCTTCCCGGTTTTTAGGTTTAGGGTGTGTGCTTTGTAGTTCTGGGGTTTCTGCTTCGAAGGTTCGCAAAAGTTCAGGGCTCTGGGGAGGACCGACGAGGCAAGCGAAAGGGAACATGGAGTTCCACACCGAAGGGAAATGTCGGAGACCAAGAAGATCAATAACCATGTCTATCTATCGTCTTTTTCCAGTCATACCATCGTTGGCAGCATCATCAGCACACTATGTACAGAATGGGTCTCAGAATCACATGATCAGAGATGTAATCCATGACAACGTCGGACACGGCTAGATGAAGGAAGCCACGACCAGATAAGGCGAGAAGTCTGTTTGGTATGAGAATGGCAGGCTGCAGGTCGCCATGCACCCACCCAGCACCCATATAAACCACTTCAACCCCGGGTCTACTACACAGGGCCTGGACTTTCATGTAACAGTATCACGGGGAAGGCAGGCATAGGCAGGCCGTAAATCTGAATGGTCATCGCATACGTCGCTGAGTTGGGGGAAATACTCAAGCTTAGCAGTGGTGCTCGACAGGGCGGACCATGAGTTGACCCCCCCTTCTAGATGGCATACGGATTGCCTCAGCACCCTAAATGGCTCAAGCCTACCGTCTTGACAGAATCTGGTTTCTGAGCATTCTGCCGTGGATCGCCATGGATCCCACTCCTGTGTCTTACTCACTCTGGCTGATGCCTGACCCTGGTGAGGTTCAGGAAAGGCTGGACAACTTGGTGGAACGGATGGCACGGGAGTTGAATGCTCCAAGATTTGACTTTCATGTGACCCTGTTTAGCAGCATCAAGTCCGCAAACCTTCCGGATCCTTGGGCAGAGAGACAGGGAGTCAAGGGTGGAATCTGGTGTACTTAAAGGATCATGGGACTTAGTAAGTTAGGTTATAACTAAGGTAACTATACTTATAACCCCAATTAGGGGACTTATAACCTTACTTACTAAGTCCCATGATCCTCCAAGTACTTCTCTGCGCATGTTGAGGAGTGCTGAATGCCACGACTGTTAGGCTTGGTCGGGTCAGTGCTTCCCATACAATTCGAAGACCACTGGTTCTGTATGTCTTGCTGTTCAGATGTGAACCTGTCCTTCCGACGTGAGCGTTGCGGGGTAGTTTTAGTGAAGTTGCTACCCCCCGTGTCTTGTTCGGAGACACTGGCCGCATCTTGAAACTTTGGAGCACTCTGATGACAACCTATGTACTTGCTACTACGATGCATGCCTTGTCGAGGCTTAGACAATCCACTGTCGCGACACCTCTAAGAAGCAGTGAGCCACAACGACGTAGCAACGAAGACTGGTATTTGTAAACGTGCCAAGGAGTTGAAGTCCTCACTCGAAATGCTGGCTGGTGGGCTGCAGCCTTTCGATGTGTCTTTCGGGGAAGACAGCCTTGCGGTGTATGATACCTGGAACCAAAACGTGTTGCTGCGACTCGGCCCGAATGCAGAACAGTTTATAGCTGCACTGCTTCATGCTTTGCGACTACAATCCCAGTTCTGTTTGCCTGGGAAAATGGGCCTCCTTGTCCGAATCGTTTGGTAGACTGGTGGGAGAATCAGACTGCGCCTTGGGCATGAACTGGACATCCCTGAACTTACCTTTGGTTAGTAGGGAATGGAGGAATGGGGTACAATTATAACTACTATTGCTACAACCATTCCCTACTAACCAAAGGTAAGTGAACATGAAGAGGCTGGCAGAAGAGACCGCTGAGCTGAAAGCCGCCAACTTGGCGGCCCAGCGAATCTTTGCCGACCCAGCGGCTGAGGCTGGCGGAGTTCAATCTATAACAGGCTTACATAAGAAGATCTTATGCATAAGTGAGATGTGAAGGTTGTACATAGCTGTTGCCTCAACATTTGCAAAAAGGGGAGGGGTCGACCACAGAATAGACAGGGTCCGATAGTCTGGGAGTTCGCATCATAGGGGTCGGAGCAGGCCCTTTTCAGCATGCCTTCTGGGGGGGCTGAATACACAGGTCAGCTGAAACCCATTTCAATCTTCTCAGGATTTGGGCGTGTGTGTGTGTGCGCGCAACTTCTGTTTGGAAGGATGTAGGACGTACTTGCCATTACTTGCCCCTGGCCTTAAAAAGCAGGAGGATGGAGCTGGCCTGTGGGCCTATCTAAGAAAGCTCTCCACAGTGTTCTGAGCATATCACCAGGGACGCCTGGTGACGCACCTATGGTTTAGGCTGTAAAGCTGTAAGTACTCAAACAAAATAAGGTTTTGGTTGTATGTCGCATTATGTCGCATCAGTTTCATGACTCGATGAACTGCATTACCCTCAAGACCAACATCAAAGAAGCCGGTATTTGGATCAACTTCGCGAATTTACATGGTCATCAGTATGGGACGGAGTGCAGTGGTGGTCGACGGCCTGGTTGGAGACCATTCTTGGTGGTCTCAATGGGCTTATGTCCAAGCAGCATGCGGACGCCGAGAGAGGGCACAGTCGCCGGATCAGCAGGTTGTGTATGCCACAGATCGCGACAAACCGATGGACAGATCAAGAATTGCTTAGTTGTCGGTATTTTCCCATCGTCCAGTCCACGTCGAACCAAGCCTCTTGAGCCGCGAACGGCGATTAGACAAGAGCCTTTGTACTACATCCGTGGCATCATTGTGAGTTTGGCAATCGTCAATCTTGGCCCACCTCTACTAGCCATACTAGCCTCCAGGTTCAAAGTTGACAAGCTCAAGTTTGCAGCGCCAACCTCGCCCAAAATCCTCTGTGCCGTTGGTTTCTTTAGGTGTGCATTGGACACGTCATGTTTGGGGAAGGGTTCGGACTGTCGTCGTGGACTTAGACTAAAGATGCTTGCGCGGGAGCCGAGCTAGGTTCGTTTCCCCAAGGGCGTAGAGCAGAGCTCGTGAGTAGGTACAGCTGTTCGTCACCAGCTTTGCGGGTCTTTTGTCCCAAGAAGAATCAAACTCATGACTATTACCTATAGTACTTACTACCTGCGACATACTACCTGCTACCTCCTACTTCCCACCTCCTACCTGCTACCTGCCACTACTATGCAAACTACAAAACTCCAAAGCTGAGAGAAACAAAAACTACTTTTGCGATTACTACATACTACTTCCTACTTACCACTTACTACTTAGTACTTATTACCTACCACTACTACTACTACTACCTACTACTACTACTACTACTACTACTACTACTACTACTATGGGTGACAAAAACTACTACTACTACTACTACTACTACTACTACTACTACTTCCACGACTACCACGACGACGACGACTACTACTACGACTACTGCGAC